ATTAAATACAAACATTACAGCCAACAAGAAACTATTGAATTGCACAATGAAATTAATGTTTACACTGACGGATCCGCTTGTCTCGGGTGCGTGGGGGCAGCGTTCGTCTCCCTATATCAAAATCAAAGAATTTTACAAATTGGCAGATATACCCTACCCTCGTATAGTACAGTTTTTGATGCTGAGGCCGTCGCCATCTTAAAAGGTCTTCAATAGTTAAAAGCTGTGAATGCAGGCCTTAGCAAATCCAGTTAATGTAAATCCCATTATATGCAAATTAAAAAACAATATTATCTCTCTTCAACAGATATGTAATATTAATTTTTTCTTCGTAAAAGGACATTCTGGAAATTCCGGAAACGAATTGGCGGACCAATTTGCAGATTCTGCTCGTCGATTTGGCATCTACGTCCCAATGAAAAAGTCCAAAAAATCTATTAAAACTCACCTTTTATATCAGGCCCGGTTAATTTGGAATAGAGATTGGGGGGCGGATGGTGCCCATTGCCATTTATATCAATGGGTTCCATCGACCTTGAGCATCCCATCTTTCTTTCCTCCTAATTATTATCTTACCCAATTGCTTACTGGACATGGCAGATTTCCATTTTATTTTTATCGGTTTTATATTAAAAATAACAAAGAATGCTTTTGTGGAGAAGAATGCAATGACTTGTCCCATTATTTCGATTCTTGTCCCGTAACTCTAAATCATGTAAACCAGCTAAAGTTACATTAAATAATACTCAACAGAAACAAAAGATACTTAAGTATAATGCAAAGGTAGAAATTTTGATAGAAATGATTAAATACATAAATGCATCAATAGATTAAAATAGTTAGGAAAGCAATATTCTCTTGCACTGGCTGCGAGCCTGGTCTGGAACGTCTGCAGAAAGAGCTAAGACAGTGGAGAAGACTACACGAGATCGATGTCTATTGTTCCAACAATTTTGAATTTTGACACCATACTTTAAGCTCTGCCCCTGGCGGGTGACAAGCAAAACATGGCTTCATTAAAAAAAAAAAAAAAATGCATGCTATCTGCAGACCGCATTGGAACGGAGGTACGGACTAGATCCGGGTACCAGATTTCCATCGAACTTTCTTTACATGCCTGGAAGACCCTCCAACTACGAGGACGCGGACTAGCTCCGTAGTCATGGGCTTCTCTCTTTATAAATGACTGCCGTTGAAATGCTGGAACAAATTGCATGCCATCGGAAGACCCAATTCTGGTTAGGGGGCACGGACCAGATCCGGGGCCCGGGCTTCCTTTAGATATATTTATTCAGTTCTCGCATGCTTGGAAGACCCTTCTCATTAAGTTAGGAGGACACGGACTAGTTCCCGCCATCTAATGCAGTTTCTCCGATCATCTCTCAGCCAGTTTTAGTACAAAAATCAGGCTAAGAAATATGATAGGAGGTGCGGGGGATTGAGTTGGGGTGACGTGACGGTTAATGGCTCTTCTGAGTAGGGTAAAGAGAAAGAGTAAGAGGGGGAGAAAAGAGGTGGAACGTGGTGCACAAAAAAAAAAAAAAAGGTTTTAACAATTATTATATAATGTCGTCGACCTAATCATTGGGAAATACAACATCCACTGCCAAAAACCAATAACTATTTAAATATACTTAACTGGGGGGAAAATATGAGGAATTGTAGTCCCGCTTCCCTGGAACAGGGGAGGGGCACTGTCGGAAAGAAAAAAAAAATAGATGGGCACTTGGGGGACAGCGATCTGACAGTGTATTTAGACAGCAAAAAAAGAAATTATTGTAAATCAAACCCTTTCTTATTAAACTCTAAACTATAAATGAATTGTAACAGTAAGAAAGCACAAAACAAACAGAGGGACAAAAACAGACATGTACAAGCTTGTACATGTCTGTTTTTGTCCCTCTGTTTGTTTTGTGCTTTCTTACTGTTACATCTGTCCCAACACGCTCGTCAAAGTCTTTATAAATGAATTATATGTACAATTCATATAAATCAGAAATTCATTTGTATAAAATACTCTCTATCAACAGTTTTGGAAATATAATTTATGATTAATTCCTTAACCTAGCAAAACAAATTTATATCATTCCGGGAACAAGATAGTTTACCAATTCAACACGCACTGTAAAATCCGCCCTTTAAAATAAAGCATAAACCATACCTAGTTAAACACCCCTAAAATCAGCACTCTAAAGGTTGTTGTAACGAAAGTAGTCTCTCCTCAATTTAAATTGAAAAGTCGATCATCAACATTACGCAAACAACTAAGGGGTGTTACATGTTAGTCAAATAGACAGAACTTAACAGACCTCTTTCCTGAGGGAAAAATATTTTGAAACAAATTACGGAAATTTTTTTTTAAATTTTTGTTCTTATTACCAAGAAATGTTTGTTTGTTTATTGCTTTCTTAGGAGGTCCAAAGGTGCTCAAGATCAGAAACCCTCGACGTTGTCGTCTTCGATTGCGCTGAAGAGGGAAGCAGCAGAAGTCTGGTTCATCCGAAGCCAATTCCTGGAAAAAAATTTTGTTTTTGAATTTTCTCTTTCATCACTCAATAAATACCCGTTGATAATTCTAGACCCGTTCCCTAACTGTGGTTTGCTGCTTCCCACATTGATTTCTTATAAATTGGCTTTTACTTAAAAATTTTTGTTTTGATTCATTTGAATCCTATTCTTTTAATTTTAATTGGATTAAACCTGTTATACTACCTGGTGGTGCAGGTAGAGAGAGCATGTTTATTTTTATTCATTTTTCTCTCGCATAGAAATTGTCCCTATCTACTATCTAGCGAAACCACAGCCAAGGGAACGGGCTTGGAAAAATCAGCGGGGAAAGAAGACCCTGTTGAGCTTGACTCTAGTCTGACTCAGCAGCCCTTCTGTTGCCTTATCTAGGAAGGAGATTCATTTTATGGCCACTTAATTAGTGTGGTTTTAGCGCGTGCCCTTTGTTTGTCTTTTTAGAGGTGCTACTTCGTTTTTCGTGCTTTTGTTTTGGGTGTTTTTCAGGCTGATTTTCTTCTTTTTGTTCTCGATTGTGCGTATATATTGCACCGTTGAGTCCAATAAAAATTTAGTTGCGAGTCAGCGCTCTGTCCGTGTCCTTCTTTACCCTGTCCGTCATTTTTTGCGCTGTTTTAACCTTTTAAAAAGGGTATTCTATTTCTTTTGATTGGAGATGGCATCAAGACTATTTAAAAAGTGATAGTAAATTATGTAAAAAGTATTGTAATACTCCAAAATTCACTAAGGGGAAATTCGATGAAACGGCATTCAGTGAATCTGCGTTCGATGAAATGTCCATTTATTCGATGAAACAGCGTTCAATGAAATGCCATTGAATGAAATGTCCGGTACCCAGTGCAGTAATATATGTTGAGTTTTATAACTTCGAATTTGTGTTTTAAACTAAAAAAGAAAAAAAAAATGAAAATAATTATTGGGGCATATTTTTGGACCTACCCTTTCAGCTTGTCGGGATGGAATGACAGCTACTTTAATTGTTTCCCAATCTTGCACGCAACGCCCAACAATCCTGTTGCCACGAAAAAAAAAAAAAAAAAAAAAATTCCTGATTCAGTTGTTTTTTTTTTTTTTTTTTTTACAGCGGAGCTGTTAAGGGCTAGGTTCCCCAGAATCGTGTCCGTGTATGTCGACACAACCCTACCTGGACAGCTACCGCCATCTATAAGCGACGGCGGCAAGCACACAACCAGTATGGTTTCCGCCGTCGCTCCTAGATGGCGGCAACCTCCTGTAGGGAGCCTATACAGGAACTCTACAGCTATAATAGAAGAATGGAGAGTTTGGCGCGTTGGTGGGAATTCATCGTAGGAAACAGCGCGAAAAACACGACGACGAAGAAGTACAGCCCCGCTGGTCTTCCTTCTTAACGAGGGTGGAAAGGCTAAACAATTTTTATTGTGCTGTTTTTTTGTTTTTTTTTTTTTTTAGGAGACATTGACAGGGACGAAGGGGTGCAGATACCATCTTACATTATGATAGTGGCCAGTGGTCCGTGGTTCCACATGGGAAGAGAGAACCGACACGGACAAGACCCAAGCACGAACCCGATGCAGCACGAAGGTATTTGGCAGGCTTGCAATCGCTCGTGCTTCCTCCACGAGTACCGAGGTACTGTAAAGGCCTGTTCACACATGCAGCGGAGCGCTAGCGCGTGTTGACGGCAGCGTTTACCAGCTTTGTATCGCACCGTCAAAACTGTTGCTCATGACAGACGATAAGTAGCTGACGACACGTGAGGAGCGCTAAATCAGCGCTTCGCTGCATGTGAGAACCGGCCTTAAGCCTGTCAAAGATACCTTCGCTCGCGTGCATACCGTATGTATTTGGGGCTTGCTATTGTTAGCCGCACCCTGCACGAGCGCTCGTGCAGCGAGTGAGTGTTCCAGTCAAGGCAGTCAAGGCTAGCCGCTCGCGCTTGCACAGCCTTCGCAATTGGCTCGTGATCATTGTGGCTATGCATGCCTTCCTAACATTTCAAATAATAATAATAGTAATAATAATAAATAATTAGAATAATTAATGATAATAATTTGCACAAGGAACAGGGTGTGTTCAGTGTCGGCTGTGTTCTGAGAGCGTGCGAGGCGAAGCAGTAAGGAATGAGCCCGTATGCTCGTGCCTCTTTATTTTTCGCTGATCGCACACTGCTTGGTTTAATTCGCGTCAACGCAATCTCGCTACCGTAAATTAAAAGTGCCTTCAAATTCCAAATGTCACACTCCACGGAAATTTCTTGATGCCACAGAAGCGCGTCAATGCAGTTCGCAAACGAAACTGATCGGGGCTATTGACTAAAAAAAAGTTGAATTAAACTGAAATAAATTTGCGCATATATTTATAGTCGTAAATAAATCCTCAAAGTTTAAAATGCTTGGCCAGCATCGCCAGCATGACCCGTTTCTACCTGTTGTATCTTTTCAGATGTATGATAATACAAAACAGCCAAACTGGCCAAATCAGCTGGCAACGCTGATCGCATGCACAGTTTGTCTTTTTTGTGGTTTCGTGATTCCTGAGACTTTTGTTTTGGTACCGCGAAGTTTTAAACCTAACCCATTTCTACATGGGAGACCCACTACACGTACTCGTGAGGAATCGAAAATTTACGTTATTAATTTCCGACCTAACGCAGTCGGTGAGACGACGTTTTATTTTTCTCTTCGCCGATGCACGTTCGAATTGTATGCCTTAACGGTTGTTCTCGAGTGGCCTTTCGACTACGTCTGGCGTTCGCTGTCTGACTATATATATATATTTTTTTTTTTTGAAAACAAAGGTCGTGTTTACTTTCACGTACTGCTACCAGACATTTCGGTTCAAAAGTTTAGCGAGAAGCAGTGCGTGCGAGGGGAAAACAAGTAATCAGGTAGCATTTCCGGTCGCTTCTGAACAGCGACTGTCGCGAACCGGTCGGGATTCGAGTTCGGCCAGGTTCGACTTTTTCGAACTTCTTGTGCAAAGTTCGACTCAGGTTCGGCTGCTATGCGCATGCGCGACAGGCTGGCCAGTTGGCTTCGGATTGGATGATGGCTAAGGGATGAATTAAGGGCATCACTGATTGGTTATTTCACTTAAAGGGGCCCTCCGGAGCTTTCTGCGATCGTCTGTTTATGTTGTTATATTGCGTAGTAGGTGCAAGTTAATATGTATACAAACTTTTAGATTACAAAACCGTTTATTAAGCAGATGGCAGAAGAAATATATCGGGACTATTTTCTCTTGGAAGACAATCCCCCATTCCCTGCCCATCCCTAAAACTTGACCAATGGAAATGCTGCGTCTCGCGGTGAATGCAAACGTTATTATTGCAACACTTTTTAAGCTTGTTGTAAATTAGAGTTTGAGAAAAACGTGAACTGATTGTGGTGCGGGAAACATAGTCCGCAATTATCGCTCCAAAACCAGCGAACTATGTTTTCTCCCCGCAAGCTTGTTGCTAGGGGCTGATGCGTCGGCGCGTCGGCTCGTCTGCTTCCCGGGGCGTCTGCAGGCGTGCGTTTGCGGGACACATGTTCCTTCTTCCCGTGGATCCCGACTCCGAAGCCAGCTTTGCGATCCTTCCACGTCAACGAGTCAAACTTTTCCTTGTCATCTGTGGGATGCGACTGCGTATTGCAGTAGCAGCGCGACGGTGCGGTGCGACGAACGACGATTGCCGAGCACAAAGTCCGGGTTCCTTGACGACGGTCCGCGCGTGTTCGAGAGATTCCTCCGCGGGTCGGCGGTCGGCGGCGTTGGTGACGCGCAGTGACGCCGGGATCCTTCGCTTGCTATTGGCTGACGCGTAAAGAGATGCCCCTCTCGTTTTCCGGGGTCATCTCAGAAAGGGGGGCGTGCCGGGGACTTTGATAGCAATTTTAGTAGGGAAATCCGCCGCGCATGACTGTAATTTTATGATTTTTAGGATCCTTAGGGCCTGCAGATTGAGTTACCGCTAGTTTTGTGCGAATAGTGGATTTTGAGTTCGAAGCGAATTCGAAGCGAATAGTGGTTTTGGCCGAATATTTTCGATTCGAATATCGAATAGTTTTTCCACACCTTTCACTACCATTGCATTATGCTTAGACGAAAACCCAGCTAAATTTGTGAAGGTTGTTCCACTTGTTCATTTATAAGCTAAGTTTATTCTGTCTATACTTATGAACTGTGACCCCAGAAGGTCTGGTGTCTTCGGATGGCAAGTAAACGACAGATTTGACATAAAATGAATCCTGTAGAGATGGACAACTATACCCAATGGTGTTAATTTACAAATCTTGCTATATAAAATATTTTTTCTTTAATCTCGAGTTAAAAAAGAATGAATCGTGCATGATGAACGCAGGTTGTAAGGGCATCTCTGCCTAACATAGTATACTCTTGCATGACAGTTTAATTTTAAACCTTTTACTGCAATGTAGATATACACATTCACAAAGTTTTAATTTATTTTCACATACAGTCGGCAGAGGTGCACCATCCCGCTTTGAATGTATGCTTTACTTCAAAGAACGCAATTACGATATTCATACTTTTCCAAGTGTTTATCGCGGCGTGTTACCCCGTTGAGTGCGCTTCTTACCAAGCACCGGTGCGCTGCGGAGAAGCAATACCCGCAACGCTCGCTTCCGCGTGTATTGCTTCTCCGCAGAGCACCGGTGTTGGGAACAAGCGCGCTCAACGGGTCCAACCCGCCACAATCAACACTTCGAAAAACGCGAATAGTACAGTTCTTCTCGAAGCGAATATCGAATAGGGTATTATTCGAAAGTACTATTCGAAATTTCGAATATTCGCACAACCCTAGTTACCGCCATAAATAGACCATCGCAGAACGCTCCGGAGGGCAACTTTAATACAGTACAAAAATTACGTTATTAACTTCTTCAGTGTTTAGAATTAGTTTCTTTTAATTGCAACTGTTCATAAAATTAAAATAACCCTTTGCATAAAAAAATTATCCAAAACCTAGACATGCTTGTATGAAGGTCTGGCCAGACTCCACCGAGTCGACCGGTCGAATTGGGTTAAAAGTCTGACGGTTCGTCGAACCTTGAAAGTTCGTCCTAAAAATCCGGTTCGACAAAAGTTTGCGACACTCCTAGTCTCAGGTCACCAGGCTCAATCTAAAATGGACCGTAAAAATCAGTGCCTTCACGTAGCAATCTAAACCTTTCGTCAAACGTGTATTTCACAGGTCGGTTTTTTCCTGTAAAATTACAAAGCATAACTTCCTTTCTGTAAAAAAAATAGGGCCAAAAAACTTGCCAGAGTCAATGGCAGACGGCGACGCAGAAGACCGAGTCAGTTGCGGGGCACGTTTGGCTCGCGTATTGATAGATGGCATCGCAAGCAGCGTCGGAAGGTGCAGCCGACAAGCGAAAGAAAGCAGACGACACGCAGACGAAATCCGTTGGCAGCAAAAGCGCCGTCGTCGTGCAAACACATTTTTTTACATTAAGTTTTGCTTTTATTTTCCGCATTTATTTTTAAACCATTTTTATGATGGCAAGAAGTCCATTTTAATAAAACACGGTGGTCGCGAGCCGTCTCGATAAGGAGGTGGCACCAACCATCAATACGAGTGCCAAGCGCGCTCCGCCACTCGACTTGGTCATCTGCGTCGCTGCCCGCCATTGACCGTGGCAAATTGTTTTTGCTATCTTTTACAGAAAGGGGAGCTACGCCTTCTAATTTTACAAGAAAATATTGACCTCTGAAATACAGCTTTGACGAAAAGTGTAGATTTTTACGGTCCATTTAATCGAGTTTGGTGACTTGGGACACCCTATAGACAGAATTAAGAGTGCGTGTTGGCTAAATGTCTGTCTGTGTCTGACATGTTTTTGTGTCTCCTTTTGCGTTCACATACCAAAACAAAAAAAATCCTTTTTTTCTTTTTTTTATGATGGCAAGAAGTAAAAGAAAAACGAAACATATAAGGCTGAAGAGAGGCGGCACAAGCACAGCATTAAATTTTGAAACTTTCACTCATTCAGAGTCTAGAGAGTAGGCGTTTCCTTTCTCGCTTGAAAAACTTGGATAACGAAAGTTGTTTTAAAGTAGGGGTGCAAGCGATAGGGCACTTCAAGGGGTTCGAGCAACTTCCCCGGATGTCCAGGCTGCTTGTAGCTTCAACCAGCGAGCTTGAGCCGTCTTTGCATAAAACTCGAGAACAAAGGCGATAAATTGTTCGTCATTTATTGACTTGGAGCATCGAAAAGAAAGCATGATTGTTGTTCTTCCGCTCCCTTAGTTTGTCTGCTGTGTACTGGTGTGGAAGGCTACGTTTCGCTACTGCCGAAGTTGCTGCCGGCGGCCGAGTGCGCACTTTCGTGAAGCGGCCGCAGCCCCCCCTCCCCTCCCTCCACCTCCTACTACTCCTCCGGCAATGCCTGACACGAAAGCGGCAGCCTAGCGCTCCCTCACGGGAAGCGGCCACCAATGGCTATCTAGGAGCTGTTTTGCTAAGCCAATTGGAGAATGGGCATTTCTTGTGTTTTTTTGCGGTTATAGACGCTGCCCCATAAGACAGTTAATGCTTTTGCATTAAAAAACAAAACTGCCTTGTTTGTCACACTGTGGGATTGAAGGCATTGTGAAAGTTAAACCAGGGTAGACTATTTGGGCAATAATTTATTAAAGGGACGCTGGCAGGGTATTTATGCTCGCCTAGGTTTTTATTTGTGCATGGCACATGAGAGCCCAACTACCCAGAACACAATTTGCAGCTCGAAATTAGTTTTCTTTCCGCCCGAAAACCGCCGATAGAGAACTCGCCGGTCTGAGCCGCACCCACTCTCTTCTCCGTGGTGACGTGCCATTCTCTATGGTTGACACACACACCAAATATAATCAAAGTCGTAGGTCATCGAAGTTTCCTGAAACGTGAAGCGAAACTGCGAACATGGGGGTGATTGTTCGGGGTTAGGGTGAAAACCCCTCTGGAGCCGAGTCCACAGTTTTTACCGTCCACTCCATCGTAGCCACGGCCGCGGCTGCAATCTAAAGATAGATTGAGTTCAGTCTGAATGTCCCCTTGACGACAGCGTTACGTGCATTGCCCTTTCAGTTACGAAGTGTCACACATTTCAACTCTAGCATGCTGAAATGAAATACTTGAATACATCCTTTCCTACAAATTGTAATTAGAGCATATAAGTTCAGCTGATTGCCTCCGTTAGGGGAATATTAGTGGAATATTAGTGGCTGCTCACAGGTGCTGTCAAACAACGCGCCCAAGGTTATTGAAATAATTTCGGCCAATTACGTGCCCTTATTTCCGCCCTCTTCTTACCAGTTAATGACCAAACTCTCGACATATATGGCTCCAAGGTCAGAGCTACGTAACAACATTCGGTTTATTCCTTTTAAATAATGTTCTGGTGTCTTTTCGAGCAAAATGTTTGTGTCTCCGTGGTGTGGCCATAATGTGGTTGACATTTAGACACTAAAATAGGCACCAGAATTTCATTGCAGCTTCCCTTTAAGGCACTTTAGACGACCCGCAAAAATCGGTTTCTCAACTTATCGTGTGGCAATTTACTACAGAGGTGCAAGCAGTTGGTAGAAGTTTACAGTGAAAAAATAAAAGGATGAACTTACCTCATTTGAAAGAAAATAAATGAACAAACAAACCTGTTCTGAGTAATCTATGCTGCCACTTTGCAGACGATGCACGTGTAGGGATAAGTTCTGCCGACAGATGGCGTACGCTGTGTCGAGAGCACCGGCTGGTTCGGGTTCTTTTGCGGGATCGTCTGCTATTAGTAACCCAAATCATCCGGCCGTTTCTTGACGGGGCGTGCGCCATCTTTCGGCAGCACTTGTCCCTACGCATGCTTTGTCTGCGTGGCGGCGTGGATTCCCAGTACAGGTTTTTTTTTTGTTTTGAATGAGGCAAGTTCATTCCTTGACTTTTTCACTGTAAGCTTCCACCACTAGCTTGTACCTCTATAGTAAATATTAGTGCAATACGTTGAGAAACCAATTTTTGAGGGCCATCTGAAGTGCTTTAAAAGCGGTACTTTTATGCTGTATTGTGTGGATTGTTTGAGTACTCAGAATTGTCTCCAGATTGTGATTGCGAGCTCTCCTTTCAGTGCATGAACTTCTGGTAGACTGACAGTGATTAATAGTTTCCTATTCATGCATCCACATCAGTCTCTATACTTGATAGCATGTGTTTGTGGTAAAGACAGGCCAACAACCCTTCCGGCTATGGTTGTGGTAAGTGCTACAATTAATCAAAACTTGATCTCTATAAAAAAAAAACAAAGAAACATCTTGAGAAGTGAATGACAGAGATGGGGTAAGCTGGTACTCTGAATTTTCAGCGTATAAATGTGACAGTGTTGTACAGTCCCAACCACACTGGACTGGAGCGTGGTAGTGCATTTCAATGCAGAATCAAACTAAAGCGCAAGAGCGGTCTGGCATATCTCTGTGAACTGAAGAATTAGCATATGTAAGTGGGGCATAAAGAAGACAAATACCTCAGCACTAGTGGAAAGGCACCTACAAGCACATGGAAAGAGACCATAACATAGGGCAAGGGTACCTCACACTCATTCAAGTGTGAGGGCCAGATAGCCCACCTCCAAATAGTCAAGGGCCAATGGTGGGGGCTGATGGTGTTTCACATTGCAAAGCAGTCGACTGTCCTAACGGCACCCCAGAGATTTTCTAGAGAAGGACCCTTGTCTGTTGTTTTGTAGGCTCACAGTTTTGCCATCTTTAGCTATTTTTTTGCACATGCGACTACTTTGTGCCCATACCTGATGCTATAACAAGATGTAAAACACCAACGTACTGGCAGTTTTCAATGGAACGAGAGCAAGCACAAGCACACCGTCCTTGCCCTGTCGCACAATTCACTAGGCTCAACAGGCATGGGAAAAACCTCTTTATATGGTAGTTTTCGCTTTCCTGACAATTTTTATAGCAGCATCATAAGGAAATACTTGTTTTTTAAAGGTATTTTTCAAAGAAAAAACATTTTTTTTAAACAGTTTGGTTAGAAAAAGGAAGTCATAAAACGAATTTTCAACGAAAAAGAAAAATGTTTAGAGCTATATTTACGGCGCAATATGAATTTGTAGTTGGCGCCCGCAGGTGCCGCGGAAAAGTGGCCGCTATTTTTTATGTGACTGGCCGCTATTTGTCACGTGGTAATTGCGCTCTTTCGGAAGCTTCCTATGGTCTCAAAAAGTTAATTATTCATCTTCGTTTGAAGTGCAACAAAAAACAAAGATTAATAAGTAACTTTTAGAGCCCAAAGGAAGCTCCTGAAAAAACGCAAGCAGACGTGATAGACCTGTGCGCGGCGGCGGCGTAACTTTGAGGCGGCAGCGGCGTCGCGCGACGGTGCCAGTGACACCTTAAAGTCCCGCCGCCGCCGTTGTTTTATGACATTATTTTCCTACTAGGCTGTTGAAAAAAAATTTTTATTTTCCTTTGCATGTGTCCTTTAAAAGGGCCCTGCAAGGACTTCTTTACTGGCTTTTAATTTGCACTGAACCTGAGCGCACTGAACGTAGTAACTTAATGAAACTTTTCTTTTCTCGAATTTTGCTTTATTTCAAAAGTAATAGGGAAATTAAAGCTACAAAAACTAGCAAAACATAACCTGCTTCATGACGTCCTTGGTCGCTTGAGTGGCTGTGAACTCGAGGAGAAGTAGTGAGGTCAGCGAGCGCTCACGGCTGCCGCACTCCGTGTCGACGGCTCGAGAGGGCGCCACTAAAGCATGTTCTAGATAGGCTGTATGAAGTGGGCGGCCAGGGCAGCTCGCATTGCATTTGCTGTGCGATTAAACACTAATTTGGCATGACACTTCATTGGCTACAAGTGACAGTAAACACGGGGTAAAGATCAGTTCAGAATGGGAGCCACTTCGCTCTGCCATACCGCCGAACGGCCAAACCGCAATCCAAACCTGCTCGCCGAAGGCTTTTGGAACGCTCGGAACCAGTCGGATCCTCGAGCCCATATACGACTGCAGCTCCGCCGCATACTTTTCGAACCTTTCTACGCTCGCTGCTCGTCGGTGCCTGATCCCACTACTTATTTCTAGTATGCGCTGCCTTTTCCACCGCTTGGTGGCGTGTATGTCGACGGGTCATTTCTTGTTTCCGTACTTTATAATAAACTGCATTTGTTTCTTTTCTGATCTAAAATACTAAACAAAAACTACTTTCATAAGTAATTGAAATGGTTCGCACCACTTATATTTTGTATTTCTACTAAAAAGAAGCTTTTAGTGGCTCTGGCCAGTAGTAAGGCCAGGACCAAAGACTGCACATATTGTGCGCTTTCAGCACCGCGGGTCGCCCCGTAGGTGGAGGAGGTTTCTGCGTTGTCCGGTTAAAATATGACTCGCTGATATTTAGTTACTCTCTCCGAGCCCGCTGGCTTGCCTGAACCTCAAGAGATGTGGAAACGGCAAAAAAGGTAGACACTTAAATATGATTGCAGGGCCCCTTTAAGCAGTCGCTCCTGCTGAGCGAGAGTTCTTGCAGCCGAGGTGCCTCCTTGAGCAAAGAGCTTGTAGGCTAGTAGTGGTATTGTCGTTCCTGTTGATTTACATGAGAAAGAGAAGCAAATGTTTAGACGATTCAATACTCAGTCCAAAAGAAAACAGAATAGTGCAAAATGTGTGAACACGTTACATGAGCAAAGCTTGATCCTTTTTGAGCAGAAATGAATCTACGATGTAAAATTTTAAGTTATTACACTTGTAGCGTTCGAGGCATGAGAATGGGGCCTCGCAGCCACGGGATTCTTGCGGGCTGCATTGTAGAGAGTCGTGGGCCGTGGATTTGAAACGCCTTATATAGGGTGTCCCAAGCGGACCTTCCGCTGTAAAATGAGCCGGAAAAATTGGCGCCCTGCATAAAGAAAGCTCAAACTTTCACTGAATGTACACTGAGCAGGTCAATCTCACTGTGTGAAATTTCAAGCATAGTTCTCTTTCTGTAAAAAATTAGAGCAAAAACGCCTTGAAATTTCACATGGTAAAACTGACCTGCTCAGTGCACATTCGTTAAAAGTTTGAACTTTCTATGTGCAGGCATCGATATTTCCGGCTTCTTTTGCAGTGGAAGGCCTGTTAAAGACACCCTAGATACCAAAAGTAGGCTTAGCATTTGTCAAGGATCTTTCTCGTTTCAAAAGTAAGACGTCAAGGTGCCAAGCAATAATTCACATAGCGTTTAATTAGTCTTGCTCGAACTTCCCTAACCTTTCTACTTCGTCTTCATCACTCGCTTCGTCTTTCTCCTTCTTGATTCTCTACAGCATTTGTTCCAGTTAAGTATGATTGCGACTTGGCATAACATGCTCATAATCATACCTAAATTATTTTTAAAAATTTTTCTTTAGCTGCAAAAGGTGCTGCCAAACACTAAACACTGCGCAGCGGATTTGACAGAAGTGGATGAAGTTGTGAACTCGCTTGTGAGAATTCTAGATGTTGCCGCCAGCTATGAAGGAGAGCCTGTAAGTGACGTTTAAAGCTTGCATACTCAACTTGTTATTTTTTATTTGCAAATTATTTTGTAATGCCTTTGCCGGCTGTTGTATTCAGACTACTGCTTTTCTTGTAGGTTCAGCCGGACATAGATCAATTAAAACACAAGTTAAAAGTGGCAATTGCTGAACTGAGAAATGGATGCTCTGAGGCCCCATACACGTCTTCTATCTTAAGCCAAGCCCTTTCAGCCTCGATTCAAGTAGGTCCTGCCAATCGCATTTCGGGAACTTCCCTGGGAGCACTACTAGCTGTTTTTCACCTGCTTTCATGTATGAAAATGCTTCCTTTCCAGCTGCTCGTTGCACTGGAGAAATTGGAAAGAACAAGTATAGAAAAGGCCCATCATGTTGCGATCCAACGCATCCGAGCAATGGAATCGTTGGATGCATCGCAAGAGGGGGATATTGTGCCAGTTCTCCTTGTAAGTACATTTTTGTCTTCGGGGAGCCCGCCACATTTTGTAAATAACACCAGGGAAACATGTATGCAAATTTTAAAATTCTGTTTTGCCCCATTACATTTGAATTAGCGTAGACTGCGACCGATTGACGCTTAAAAACATTGTCTGAACGTTTTGACATAAACTTTGACAGCAAGTGTTGCACATTTTCGAAATGATTCTTTACGAACTTGCAGTTTACCTTGCGAGCAGTTTACCTTGCGAGCTGACCTCTCAGTTACCTTAAACCGGTAACAGAAATATTAAAAAAAAGCGGGGCTGCCAACCTTGGGTCAGTGGAGAAAAATTGGAAGGTTAAAATTTTTCTATCAACTCTACAATGGGCATTATAACATCAGTTGGAGTGACTATATACAGCTTCCTGGTAGAAAGTCACCGAGAGTTAATAACCAGTTTCGAGTCAAGCTGTATTTTACAAATCTCGATGTTTTTAAGTACTTTTTCCTTGTAAAAACAATTGAGGAGTGGAATAGTTTGGATGGTGACCTCTTTGTTGGGATTGACAGTGCCAATAAATTTGAAAGTACATTATTTGATTTGTATGCGGAGACATACTAGTATTCTTTAGTGGTGGTGACTTTTGGTGCTGTTGTTCAACCGAAATTGTACTCAAATGATTGTATTGTGGTGATTGTTCTTGATCTTCGGTTCTTTATTTCTGTTGTTTTATTGCTGTACACTCCTGAAACAGCCCGAAAGGGCTTTCAGTATTGTAAATAAATAAATAAAAACCTTCAATTTTCAGGAGGCACTGCGAAGTGTGCTCCCATTTCTTCGGGGGGTTCAGGCTCGTACTTCATCGCTTTCCGAAAGGGGCCTCTATGAGCGGCTCTTTGACATCTCGGCTATCCAGCGCTTCTACCTGCAGTTTCTGGCGGACACTCTCAAGCTTTTCGTGGAACATTTCAACAGCAGATATATGAAGGTACGCCCCGTCTCTGTGTTCCACTTCAAAGGAGGGCCGCATGCAGTAGTCTATTAAAACTTGTTGTTGGCCTAGTTGGTTCATGATGCAGTCTAGAGGTTTTTTTGCGCAACACAAGGGACAATCACAAGCGAGTAGACACGGACAAGCGCTTGTCCGTGTCTACTCACTTGTGATTGTCCCTTGTGTCGTGCAAAAAAACCCTCTAGAATGCAGTAGTCTGCCTTTCCCGCCACAAATTTCAAGGTCCCGTCTCTAACACTTGGGGGATGCACTCTCAATAAACCGTTTGGCTTCACGAGCAACTGCATCCTCTTAATTCTCCTTATCCCCTAAGGGAAGTTTTTTTTAAAGTGTAGTTAAGCTCTGGGGGGGGGCATTGATATGCAACTGCGAATCATACTATGGTTTCGGGCACGGTGATAGAAATACTTCAGGTGGCATAACGCTGTGCCTCCGCCGAAGAGCCGTCGTGGCGAAGATCGTCACGTGATTCTCTCCTGCTGCCGGGGTGCGCCACCAGCACCAAGGCCGCCTTTTTATGAGCAGTAGTAGGTGGTAGAATGCATTGAGCTGCAACACTGCACAGTTTTCTGTAGTTATCGTTTTGCTTCTGGCCAGTGTCGGCTTACTTTAAGTTGCCGGCAGTGGGGATCTTCGTGCCATGGTGCAACGTGAGATACAAAACATTAACGGAGAAGCTGTCTCTCTTTGCTGCTCCAAAAGAAGAAGAACGCCTAATTGTATGGTGAGACGCTATCCCGTGCAAAGATGACCTGCTGCAGCTGACAGACTTCGTCTGCAAGAGACATTTTGAGTAGGTTTGTGAGCAAATTGTGGAAAGCCATCTACAAGGGCCATGTCTTCGTAAGTGCCCCACGGAAAGGTGCTCTGGCAAAAGGCACAATGCCAACAAAGTTTCTAGGCTACCCCTGCTACCCAACAAAGAACGAGAAAAAAGAAAAAAGGACCCCCTGGATTTGTCAGTATCCTCCTTCTAGCCAATGGCACTATTTTTAACACATTCAGTTTTACTTCACCTGGAAGTGCAAGAGCAGTGCACCATTACTTTTTGTTTGTCAAATGCTGCTTGTCCCTAAAGTAAAGGGTGTTTACTTTCAGAGTTATGTTAACGAATTAGTGTACCTTGTATTAGTCTTAGTTAGTCTTCGTCCTTGTTGTTTTCGGCGCTTTTATACCTTTTCAGATGAATAAACAAAATTCATAGATCGAAGCATATTTCTGCCGTGTCTCTGCCCCATTTTCCTTGTGCGCCAAAACTAACATTCTGTGAGTCCTGTCAGCAGGTCAACTTAGTTAGTTTTATTAGTAGGCATTTGGGCTTAATGACCCAATAGAAAAGATAGCACGCTGCCCAAAAGCACCTTTTCATACATTAGTGTCCAAGTGTGGTCCATAAACATATTGTATTATATCACGTAAAGTATGCCAATAACGCATAATTTTTACTTTTTATTCTTTTTAAAGTAGTCTCGTTTGTGCAAACGGGGGAAGTGTTTTGGCCTGCTGTGGAATCGGGGTGCACTTAATAAGCGAATAGCATACCGTCGCGCCACAACTGGACTTGAGTGTCCCATCCCTCGCGATCGATTTTGAGCATTTCGCATTCCGATAGTGCTCTTGAATTCAAGGGCCTGCCCTGTACACACTCCAACATTTACCATTCCACAGCCCAGTGCACGATCTCAACAGCCCTGCATGTACGAGTTTCTCACTTCACAAAGAAGGAAAGCACGCGTCAAGTGGCAAAACTCTGCAAATGACACCGGCCACAAGTCCTTTATACCGGTTACTTGTAACGGTTACGTAACATCAGGAATGTCCACTGCCACTTCAAAGTGCCAAGTTTAACCATCACGTTCAGTTTAGCACGTGCAAAGCTTCGCCGCAGTCACTGGTTGGTTCACTCCCCGGGTAGCAGATGCCGTTTGTAGGCCTCAACAACCATGACGCCATCTAGTGGCACGCACGAGAAACGGGATGAAAGTTGGACACCTTCGGAGGCGGTGTTACTCCACCTGAACCTTCTTACACCGTGGTTCCGGGAAACTCGGAAAGTTTGAGAATCGGGGGATCTTTTGAACCTGCAGTGCTTAGCACCCGCAGCTGTGTTTATAGAGTGTTCTTTTTGTTGCGTGCATCCAGATACTATGGTACTTCTGCATTTGCCAAGCTTGCCAGTGGTTGTCCAAGTTGTGCGGCGCTGCGTGCGGGACGTCTTCACAACACGCTCTCGACGGTTGGATGGGCGCTTTTGTTGAAAAAGTGGACGAGGTGAGCACTCTGCCAGTTTGTCTGCTGTGGAGCTGCCGGCTCTTTGCTTCGTCGTGGCTTGAAGGGACGCTGAAAAGATTCTTGGATTTGAAAAACAGTAAAAGTTTTTATGTAGGCACCTTAAAAATTGTCTCAAATTTCTTTCTATTTTATTAGTAGGAGCGTTGTAATCGCCAATTAAAATTTTGACGTATAGCCCTGCCCGTTGTGGCGTGCCGCGAACAGGAGAGTGCGAGAGCTTAGACAAGAACTAGCAAAAGTGATATCATCGGCGGGGTCACATGAGCCCTGCCTGCCACTAAGCTGGCTCGGTAATGCCGACAATGACAATGACGTCGAGATGCTGTGGATGGATAACAGGCGACAGAGAGGCTTGCCACATTCCCCACGGGAATCGCTGCACTCTTTTTTTCCAAAATAAATGCGGTTTACATTTACTTTTGCTCGAATTAAGTGCGGTGGCTGAATTGATGGGACAAAAAGCTATAGAAGTCCGGTCCTAACTCAGATTTCTTGTAAAGTGCTTCAGGTTCCCTTTAACGTCTTCTCCGATTGCAGGCACTCTACAGGCTTTCTCGGGAAGTTGACGAAACGTTTTTCTCCGCCGTGGATTTTGTTGTTGGTCACGGAATGTCTGTAGGCCAACTTTGTAAAGAGGACAGCAGAGAGAAGCTGCATCTCGTGTGCAAGGAGGTAGGATCTTCTTTGTGGGATTGCCTAGCGGAGCTTTTACTTTTGATTATGCAACATGTGAGCCATTAATTTCTTTGCTCTTTTTCAGGTTCTTCAAGTAAAACTGAATTTGAAGAACGCTGTAGGCCAGACGCCCAGGTATGTTCAAATAATTTTTGTTGAAGTTTGATATTTTCTGGTCATTGACTGGCAACGTTTTGCGGAAACAGCTTTCTTTTAGGAGACATTGAACTATTTGTGTCCTTGTGACAATGACTGCTCCATTAAGATATATCATTTTGCAGTATATTGTTATGTGCTCTCATATAACAGTATTTAATTATGTTTAGTGTGTGCCTGACTGATCTCATTTTGCTCAAATAATTGATAGAAAAACTTCAAACGTTTTAAAAGCATTCATTTTTTAAACTGGCTTGGAATTGCTTTATCCAATTTTTAAACCTCCATTCTCTGCCAGAAAAGTTGTTTCTTTGAATTTCTGCATATGCTGTAGCTAGCATGCATAGGAAAAAAGACATTGAAGATGAATATTCAGGGCTATGTGGTATGTTTTTAGCATATGCATAAACATATTCAGTGGTGTTGTGTTTTCTCTTTCACTTTATTCATTCTCACCACATATTAGCTAAAGACAGGAAAAGAATGCTACATGTCAAAATTGGGAATAAAACAAAAAACATTATGTTTTGGTCGCCTTCAAATAGTCAAGAGAGTGAAAAAATGGAAGACGTTTACAATTCTCTGTAATGCCGAATTAGAGTGCAGCTCTCGAGAAGGAGGAGGGGAGGGTACAGAAGGGAGGGTATATCCCTCCTCCCCCCTTTATCCTCCCCTTCTCCTCTCCTGCTCCCCTCCCATTTAGCGAGAAATTTTCGTTAAATTTCCCACTAAATTTAGTGGGGAAATTTAGCGAAAATTTCCCTGCTAAATTTAGCGGGGAAACTGAATTGGTGTGGAGGCCTTGTGGCATAAATTTCCCTGCTGAATTTAGCAGGGGAATTTTTTTGCTAAATTTAGCGGTTTATGTTTCCCCTCTAAATTTAGCAGGAAAACTTTTGCCCGCTAAATTTAGGGGGGAAACTTCCCGCTAAATGTAGTGGAAAAAATTTCCTGCTAAAGTTAGCAGGGAAATTTTCTTGCTAAATGTAGCGAGGAAACGTCCCATAATGCAGCGTGCGGTTACGCCGACGGTGACGAGAGCTGTGCTCTAAAACAATTGTCTTTCACATATTCAAGAGAACAGAAATATTCCAAATCTCTCTCATTTTCTGAACAGTGAGTCTCTGTATTGTAAAGCTTTTTTTTTTTTTTTTTTTTGCTTTTGTACTTTCTGTTTATATTATTCATGGCTTCACTATTTCATGTCCAGAAAAATTCTTGTTTGTTTGTTTTAAGAGCTCGGAGATACAGTAGTTGTACCCTTGCATTTTTCACAACTAGGGAGAAGCTGGATGATCTGCAGCACCATATGAAGTCATCCTTGGAAAATTTTGAAGAAGTGGTGAATATTGCTCTCGTTGAGCTGCTAGTTGAAAACTACATGAAGCCAAGTTCAAGTTTTAGCAAGCTGTTGGAAAGTACCCGCCAGTGCTCAATGGTGAGGAAACATTTTTCTCTCTGCGTTAAATTCAGTTGTGTTATAAAGATGCGCGTATACATCTCAAGCATTCCTCTGTACTTGCCAGTTTCAACCTGTTGAGTAGAATATTGCGAACAACCGCACAAAATTTGTTTCAATTGGCAGCAGTAACTGCTGCATTGTGGAAAGGCATGCTGAAGGAGATTTGCTTTCAGAGCCAGTGTGCTGTACTACAATGTTTGCCATGTTTTTTTTTATTTCAGCAGAATTGATGTAGGAGACATGTGAGGAGATATGTGCTTTGGTAGAATGATTGTGTGAGAGGTTGTATGTGTTTAAGAGGACAGAGACGTGTTTCTTTTTTTTTTTTGCTGAAACATGCTTTTTCCGAATGGGTGTGCCCGTGATTGCGCCTGCGGTGGAAGAAGCGAAAGTATGTAGGCGAGCTGTTCTGTACAGGCGCGGAGAGTACACGAGGACGGAACCTAGTGGCAGCAGTGGGGAGGCGAGGGAGCGTGTCCGCACAGCACGACCACATGGTTATTTCACAACAACAGCTGCCGGAGGGGTGGAGAGGGGAGGAAGGGAGAGCGTCACCAGAGCAAGAGCAGCAGGGCCCTTCAGGGGCGAAAGAAAGAGGGAGCAAGAGAGAGCCTTGCAGTGTGTGTGAGGAACGACGGGGAGAGGGGAGAGCGGGGCATCTATTGTAGAGTCGGGTTTTCCGTTCGTATACAGGAGCATGTTTTGCCGGGAAGGATTGCAACTACCACTGTAAAACTTTAAAATTGATGTTATGAGCCCTGATAATTATGGTGTTACAGAACACATTGAAAATAATATAATGATTACGTGAGAGACAAGTTTCTAAGGTCAAAAGTCACATATTATTCACGCAACTGTAGCAACGAGTAATGTTAGGGGAGGTAGCCGGTGCATGTTAACACAAAAAGTGGCTGATCGTTGCTTCATAACAGTTCAAATGATAAGTGAATGAGGAAATTGAGGATGGAGGATATAAGTATATGTTATGGGTAACAAGTAAGTAGATAATCTTGTTTTAACTGGAACTTGTTAATCAAACATGACTACATTGTGTTATAAAAAAGGACAATAGACGGTATGTGAAACTGGTCTGGCTGCACTGTGCACGTGGCCATCTTGGTAGCGTCAAGCATCTTGAGTTTCGGTTTCTCAGCATTTCCAGAACATGGACGCTCTGCCACTAAGTGCGATACGGAAACTTTATTGTTTTCTTACTTCCAATCACCCCATGTGGACAAAGGACAAGGCCGTCATGCCTTTCATCTCTGAGGGCACTTTTAATTCTTTTTTTTATGCGAATACACGTGAAGTGCCCACAAACTGATTACAAGATGTTTGATGGTAGCAAAAGAATGCTTGGTAGCTGATTCACTGAGAAGCACGTAAAAAACACTGGAAATACTCTGTTTAAGACTACCTGCACGGCCTGAAAGTTTGTACCATTTGTGATGTTACACCACTGGAGAGTGCACGGAAATTTGAATGCTGGTTTCGTCGTCATCTTTATTTACGGTTTTATCAGTTGCTATTTTGAATTTCGAGAAAATAAATAGCATACTGTGAAGACAAAAGTCTGGGTAGTCGGAAAATGTAATTTGTTTGGGTAGCTAAAAAAACGGCCGGAATACTCCTTTAATCCCTTGCCTACTAATTCTGAGTGTGACTCGTGCCGCCCTTTACGCACCATAAAGCCCGACCATGAGTGTGACTCACGATTCAATTTCAGTGCTTGTTTGGCACGCTCTCCTGCAGATGGCAGCACCACCCTTGTTGCTCCACTTACCTTGGGTTGTTTGCTTGTCTGTGTTGCTGTTTGGCGGAGACAGGGTGCTCCATTGAGCCAAGAAAAAAAAAATGTGCGTGCTGGGGAAGCATTTGCGCCTTCGTGCCAAAACAACCTGGCTTCGGCGCGGAGGTCCGCTTTAGCTTACGAAAAGATCCAAAAACTCATTTTTGAAAGTGATGAATGCTCGGGCATATCTAACAATGAAGAACCCGACATAGGCATGCAAAGTATGCACAGCCAAGAAGAAACGGAGTGAAGCAACATGGAAACGTGGACAGTGCAAAATGGCTCTCCAGCTTCCTGAATGTTTTTAGCGCTATCACACTGATGAACTACTGAAGAGGACCAGAAGATCAGAGGTCCTGATTTAGAGCAAGATACCACACCTGGAAGTCAAGGAAATGCTTTTGTCTTACTTTGATGCAAAGTGCCTGTTTAAAATAAAAATTTTCTGTACATTCCATAAAGAAAAAGATGAGTAGGCAAGGGACTAAGAAAAGAAAGACCCTGGCAAGATGAGTTGGATAAAACATAACATGGAAAGCAAAGCAATAGCTACATTATTTGAATATAGCTGCATGTTTGCTTTTCAGGCAATATTAATAACCATAGAAGGCTGACTTACAAGTGTGAGCAACATTTTCGAGGCCATTAAGCCAGCCGAGATGCTCCGACATGTCGGCCGTTTCTCCTACTACATCGGTGCAAAGCAGTGAAGCTTGACGCACGTGCCCGTGCAAAGCGAAGTTTGATGCCTGGACGCTGGTGCAAAGCAGTGGAACTTGACGCGAGAAATCTGAGAATTCCGAAGACATTACTATTATAGTTTTTTAACATTAGAATAACTCGGTACACTTCTAACAGTACAATTGTGCTCCAAATCAGATCATTTGAAAATTGTTCAAAGTTTAAATATTTGCTCACCTCTACTTGCATGTTTCCACTGATGCGCTGTCGCTAATTTTAAATGTGTGTTTAATTAACTTCTTTATTATTTTCTAGTATGAGTTATTAGTATCCAAGATGTGTAATTATTGTTAAATGTTTTGCATATTGTGTTTGAACCTTTCTGCACATTTGGCCACGTGACTATTGTTGCGTGTTTGTCAGAGTTGGCAGTGCACTCGGCCGCCGCGCAAAGGTACGAGGTTCAAACACTGTTGCCCCAGTTCTTTCTTTTTCCGATGCTTGTTCTTCTGGAAAGTTCCAGTTCATCCTCGGCTGTGATCGTGCGTTCTGGTGTAACATAGTGCTTGTATAAAAGCAGCGGTAAGTTCACTGCTTTGAGTCAGTTGCCCTTTTGTCGCCACACCAGGACGTACAGTGCCCGTGTTGTTTTAGTTAAAGACACAAGTTCACCTCATTAAACGTTTACTCTCATTTTTATACCCATCTGCTCTTTTTATTCATAACAATATTGCATTTTTTCCTCTTTTTTTGTTTTGTTCATCTAGTTGTTGGCAGTCTACTTTTACACTTACTACCTACTTCAATTCTGACTGTTTGTGACATATTTCATTTGTTATTTCATTTTTGCTGACACACCAGATCCTGTGTACAAGCACACCAATGCTTGTACAGGCCAATGCACAATGTGCCACTTCTGACTACTAATACAATTTTTCATCTCAAAACAAAAATGAATGCAATAATTCTTGGGCATTGAATAATTTTATAGCCTTTATGAGAATATAGGCTTCCATTTAGCTTGACAGTGCCAAACAACAGAGTACCTTCCCCCAGGTAGGCAGTGAACAAAGCCTGCTTGTCTACTTTCTCTTGTTGTATGCAAAGAGCCAATCACTGGCATTTATGGGAGGCCCCCAGCAGATGACGAGATGCTAATACCATTTAGATCTATATAGAAAGCGGCCTGCATTGAGACTGAGCCTGACGTTTACATTGTTGCAGTTATATTCTTCAATTAGTGCCTCATCATTCAAATGGCAGCCGTTGGTTTCCACTTGCTCTGCAGAAATGTGCATGCACAGGCTTTGTTCATAGAAAGCTTCCGCCACATGGCTATTAATAAAAAACAAGTACTAATATGAGATGCTTTGGTTCTTTCTCATGTTTTCAGGGTGAGGCTAATAGCAGTGTAGCCAACAAGTCGGATTTGCTTGTCGGCGAGCTCAACAGCTTCTGCTCGGCACTGGACTTGACGTACAGCATTGCCCATTTGGCTGCAGGCTGCACAACAGACGTCAGGTGTAAGCATGTCGCAGTGGCACTTCACCAGGGCTGTTTTTGGCCCTGACACTCATTTTCCTCAATCTAGGATCCTAAGATGTTATAAAGTTTAATTTAGACATGGATCATCGGGACCACAGGGACTAGTAATGGGCCAAACTTTTGCCGAATCGAAAATTCGGCGCTGAACCTTACGATTCGGCAAAGCCAAACTTCTGCCAAACTTTTTTAAAGATTCGGCCAAAAAACATTGTTACCAGACTTAACATTGATATTTAGTTTTCTCTGGGGAAAAAAGGTTTTATGTTCTTTTTTTCTTAACTTCAATGCAACATGTAATCCATATTGACACAGTTATTACTAAATAAGGTGATATTCTACAAGATAATTGTATTGGTGTCATTTTTGTGTGTTTTTTGGCAATTTTACAGTGAACTCTTGCAGAAGTGGTGTGACAACAAAGTTGGGTAGTAGCAGGCACAGTCACAATATGCAAGTTTCGGTTTTAAGGCCTTGTCAGCGCAAGCCTGCAAGTGTGTACATTGTTAAAATAAAGGCAATATCACTGTGCTAAACTTTTGACTGAAAACCACGAGACTGGGACGAGAAGGGACGGACAAACACAAAGTCTCAAACAGAGCTGAAATTTATTAGACTACGAAAGGGCTTATATAGGCATCAAATCCTACACAAAACACTAGAGACAAGAGGGAGAGAGAGAGAAATAGGAGCGCTGCCAACATAATCAATGTTGGAAAAAAAAAAAAAAGTCTTGTTTTTATTGTATAAAGGAGGTCACTGCTTCTCAGTTCTATTGTAAAGGTCGCTTTGTTGTACTGCTTCTGGAATGGGATTCCCCATTTCTCTCTCTTTCTCTTGTCTCTAGTGTTTTGAGTAGGATTTGATGCCTATATAAGCCTTTTCGTTGTTGAATAAAGTTCAGCGGTGTTTGAGACTTTGTGAAAACCCCAAGACTTTGTCTTGGGGTTTTCAGTCAAATGTTTAACCCTCACCAGCTCGTTTGCACCCTAACCTTTTGTTCATCACTGTGTTCTTACTTTATTTTTTTATTTATTGAAAGTACCCTCAGGTCCCGAAGTCATTCCCAGGCGAAAATTTTCAACTGGTTTATGGAACAATTCCCAGTTGCAACTGGTCCCAGTTGGAGTTGTCCAACTGGTCCCAGTTGGAGTTGGTCCCAGCTGGAATTGGTCCCAGTTACAACTGGTCCCAGTTGGAGTTGGTCCCAGTTACCGCTGGTACCAACTCCAGCAACAATGAAACACGGCACAAAATGGAAGGTTGACAAGACTTTATTTCAAAAACTTCGAGAATGAAACTAAATAATAGGTTCGGTGACGTACACGCATTGGGGTTAGCCACTTGCTTTTGACGGTTGAATCGCTTTTTCAGAGGTAGTATTCGTGAGATGAAGGAAGATCGGCCGCTGGCGTCTGTTAGTGAAGACGTCCTCAGCTTCTCTCCCCATCGCGTGAAGGAAGGTGCTCACCCGTGATCCCGCGTTGCGCAGGTGAAGTCCTGATACGATGCGGTAGCGCTCCCACCTTGCAATCTCTGTCACAACAGTCGAACATTTTCGAGGTAGACCTCCTGCCATTTTCGCCATTGTGCTCCCGCGGCGTTTTCTCTTCCGTCCGGTCTTTCCTGGGTGCCCTCCGATCGCTGAACTGCATCTTTCCATCCTCGAAGTTCACCGCCGCCACCATGGTGTGCGTACACTTAGGTCCAAAGAAGCGCAGCTATAGTTTTGACATTTTCATAACGACGCCAATGATGCCGCCAGCTTGTACGAAGCCAACTTGGGCGATGGCCGCGTCCGCGTCCGTCCGACTCCGGCGTCAGCATAGGCAGCGCCATCTGTCGACAGCGCGACTTCAAGCCTCCCTCTACAACAGACCAAGGACACAGGAGGAAACATCCCTACGACCTCAGGAACAATTTTACCGCAGCATTCTTGAACCAATAGCGCCCGGTGAACTGCAGAGACATATTAATAAACTATAGGCAGGAAAGGCAGTAGGTCCAGATGACATCCCCAACGAGTTCCTGAAAAAGCTTAAACCGGTAGCACAGAAGCACCTAAGGTACCTTCTAAACAACATGCTGGCAAAACATGCTATTCCTGAAGCCTGGAAACAAGCCAAAATAAAACTAATCTACAAAGGAAAAGATAAAGACAAGAAATCATTAGACTCATACAGGCCGATAACAATACTAAGTAATGTTTACAAACTGTTTGCATCAATTCTGCAAGACAGACTACAGAGACTCTGTGAGAAAGCCCATCTTTTCAGCGAGGCACAGAATGGATTCCGTAGGAACCGGCGGGGCAGCGACAACATATTCACTGTCATACAACTAATAGAGCTAAAAAATCTAGATAGGTCACCACTCTATCTGACTTACCTTGACTTGGAAAAGGCCTATGATGCAGTGCCCCATGAGAAGATGGGGACGAAGTTAGAAGCGATGGCACTGGATGTTCAGACAGTATCGCTCTTCAGAAACATGTACGCCGGATGCAACGCCAGATACAGTTTGGGAGGACATTTATCAGGGCAAGTGAACATGATTGTGGGTCTGCGCCAAGGCTGCCCCCTTTCTCCAACCCTGTTCAACATCTACATCAACAATCTCATTCTGGAGCTGCAAGCCAAAGGGCAGGGTGTTTCTTTCACAACCATTACCTCCAGTAATGACATGGAAACAACTTATATTCCAGTACTGGCCTTTGCTGATGATATACTCCTGTTATCAGAGAATGAAACTCACCTTCAAGACATGCTCGATATCTGCACTCGAATTGGGAATGAAGAGGGATTCAAATTCAGTAAGGAAAAATCAAAGTGGATGGGCTATAATGTTCACGAGCCTAACCACACGTTTAGAGTACAGGAGGTGGAAGTAGAACATACCAAGGAATACAGGTATCTGGGAGTGACTCTTCAAGAAGGCCCGCTATACTTGGAACAACACGAGAGGAACACCCTAAAAACCTCCAACATCAGAAAAGGTCACCTGTGGAACATGGCAAAGTATTCCTATAACCCATACACCCTTGCGAGGGCACTGTGGAAGAGTGTCGCAGTACCGGCAGTCACCTATGCTAACGACGCAGTGGTCTTCCAACAGACCACCCTGAAGACACTGGATCGCCATCAAGTGGAAATCAAGAGGTGGGCACTGGGCGGAAACGGGGCAACTGCAAACCTGGCCGTCACGGGAGAGATGGCCTGGTCGACATTCAAGCAACGGGATGCAAGGGCCAAACTCGGATACCTCGGGCGCCTGATCCACATGCCAGACGAAGCGTACACCAAAAGGACATTCCACTACGTTAGATACCGCAGCAGCAGGACGAACTGGTCAAACACCATCGCCAGGCTCGACTCTGTGTACAGCAAAGGGACGAGGCGACATGAGGCCACATTGGAGAAAGGATGGTTCAAGGCTGTGACAGAGGAGGTGAACGCGATTGAACTTGAGGCCTGGAGACAAGCGGTGAGGAAAAAGCAGAGCCTCCAGAGCATCTACGCGCTCCACAAGTCTGAGCCGTCTCCCTGCACACACTACCGAGGGGACCATGAAAGCGCGCTACTGTTTCAGGCACGGGTTGGAGCGCTGATGACGAGCTGCCGACGTGCCCAACTCTTCGGAGACACCGACACAGCCTGTCATCTGTGCGGGCAGTCAAGCGAGGACGTCCTCCACGTGCTGCTGTGGTGCCCTGCCCTAGACCACTGTCGACCACCCTGGGCGACCAGCGAAGAGAGGATTCCCGAAATGCTGGGATTCGGGGAAGGAGCCCACGGTTCACTAGCAACCAAGCGCATTCTCGTTGAATGGGAGAGACTGCGTCTGATCGCCAACCAGTGAAAGTGTCCCAAAAGTGGGAAAAGCTAAAACAAAACAAGAACTAAAACTTTTACCTGTGTCGGCAATCTGAACTTTTGCTGACCCCCCTGTCTCAAAAGGGGTTAGGTACCGCCAACTAACTAATCCGCACCCGCGTGCCACGGCGGCCGGCTAGCTCTGATCGGCCAAAAGATAAATTTATTTATTAAAAAAAAAACAAAAAAACTGTAGGTACTTAAATAAATGTTTTAATATATTTTAATAATGCACTAAATGTTCATTTAGGTGAACACATTTTGTCACTAATTATATTTTCCAATTAAAAAATTATTTAGTTAATTAAAATTTTATATTTTTATAAATATATAAATGTACCCAGTAATTAAAAATTTCCCGATTTGTATAAATCTAAAAATGTAAGTGCTTTTAGTTTTCTTCATTAGCAAAGGTCAATACACACCCAACTTGTCAAAATTGTTGCCCCGTGTGAACTGGGAACGGGAAAGGCATTTGAAGTCCGACTGGGAATCGCTCCAACCAGTTACTTTCCTAACTGGTCCCAGTTCACTCCATTCCCAAGGGAGTCAAACCAGTTGAATCCCAACTGGGAATGGTTCAAACCAGTTCATTCCCAACTGGGAATGGTTAAAACCAGTTGACCCCTTAGCTGGTCCCAGTTGGACTCCTATTGGTCCCAGTTGATTCCCAGTTGGGACCAGTTAGTCCCAGTTGATTCCCAGTTGGGACCAGTTAGTCCCAGTTGAAACCAGTTGAGGTGCCAACTGGTCCCAGTTAGAAATTTTCGCCTGGGTTACAGAGCACAAACATAAAACAAAGATAGTAAAATCGTAACAAGTCAACAATATTAAATATACAACAAATAAAGAGAAACAACAGGTCATGGGTTGCTGCTAAAATAGTTAGTGATGGAATTTCTGAACAGGTTAGTATCAGTTATAGTAGCAATCAAACCGGGCAGGTGGTTCCATTTCTCGGATGTGTGGAGTAAAAAAGAAGGTTGAAATGTTGTGGTAAATGAACTTGGAACTCCAACTTTGTGCTGATGGTCAAGACGGGATGAAGTGTAAAAGGGGGGAGTAATCATCTGATTGCATAGGAGAGGATTATCAAAATACATTTTATGCAATACTAGACATAGGCATGAAATTTTACATCGCAAGGAGAGAAGTGGTAAACGTCAACTATTTTTCATCGATGTGACACTAGCAGTACGATGGTAGTTGGAAAGAATGAAACGGGCTGACCTATTCTGAATGGATTCCAATGCTGTGATTAAAGTATTGTGACTGGGATCCCAGATGGAGGCTGCATATTCTAATTTAGGCCTGATTAATATTTTGTAGAGGATCGATTTTAGTGAAAGAGGTGCCATGAAAAGATGTGTTTTAAGTAGCCCAACATGCAGTTAGTACGGGCAGTAACATACTGAATATGGAGTTTCATGAAAGGTTATTTGTTAAGTGAACAGGTACCTGCACATTGCCACTTGCTCCAAAAGGTTGCCATCTAGATGGTAACAGGGACTGTTGTTAGGTTTGGGGGACACTCTCATGTGTTTACATTTGCTAGTGTTTAGTTTCATTAGCTTTATTTCAATTCACACCATTAAGAGACAGAGTTAATATCAGACTGAAGTGCAGAGAGGTCAGAATCATGACAGATTTCACGGTAAATTACACAGTCATCGGCGAAGAGGCAAACGGATGAAGACACATTAATGGGAAAATCGTTAATATAAATTAAAAATAGTAGTGGGCCTAAAACAGACCCTTGAGGAACTACAGAATTCACAGACACAGGTGGAGAGTTTTCGTTATTAATTGTTACAAATTGTGATCGGTTATTCAGAAAAGACAGAATCCATGCGAGAACGTTAGGGTCGATCAATGTTAAGTTTTGCAAGTTTTAGCAGTAATAGCTCGTGACACACCTTATCGAATGCCTTGGCGAAATCTAAGAAAATGCAGTCTACCTGGGAGCCTCGGTCAAGAATAGAATGAATGTCATGAGTGATGGATAGGAGCTGAGTTTCACAAGGTAATGATTTACGAAATCCGTGCTGTGCTTCAGTGAAGAAATTATTCGATTCTAGAAAATGGGAGTCGCCGTTTCGTGCGCGAAAATGAATGCAACAGTTGCTGAGCCTTCACAGAAGAGATAGCAATATTATTGTAAATATTCATGTTTTTTTATTTGAATCTCTTGACGTCAGCTTTGCATAAAAGTGTGCGTCCCATATTTGCAAAGTCTCATTTTTAACCTTCAAAATTCTGGTTTCTGGTGTTAGGACACACACAGATTTTTAGGTATAGATTGGAAGAGTTAGGAATGTCGTATGTGCAGCGTCGAACATGAGAGTTTTGTGTATAGTTTTATGCATATACATGGGGAAAACCGCAAAATAATGCTAATTAAAATGAAATATTATTTTGTTTTGGCACAAACTACTTGTTAGCCAAAAAGAGGATTGTTATAATTACGACAAGTGCTTTAAAGTAATTGTTAGTCAATGTTTCAACTACTTTGTTGCATCACTGGAAAGGTCAAATGAAAATCAGATAATCCAGAATGTCCTGCATCGTTTGTCACTTGCGCAGTGGACTGTGAAAATTACTGGCCAATCTTCTGTTCTTGAGGCAGAAAATATTGAAGAGAACCACACTCGCAAAGGCCCACAAACACACAGTTACCGGGTTGCCTACTCCACACCTCGCCCTAACCACTGGTTGTACTACACCGACTACAGTGTACAATGGTAACCGCACAACCGCGTGGCTTCCATTTGCAATCCATGGCCCCGTCGCGTTCTCGCCTGTGCATAGACATTTGCCAAATTTTCGCCGAATCTTTGCCGAACCTTGCTTCAAAAGTTCGGCATGTGCCAAACTTTGCCAAATCAGTTCGGCAGATTCAATCCATCACTAACATGAACCGTGTGCATGTCTTGTCCGAGCGCAGTCTCGACTAAGGTCTAGATAGGTGAGGGCATCTGATGGTGCACTTTGAAACTCCGTTGCAGCTTTCTGTAAGCTCTTTGCATGCTGAACTGCTAAATTTGCAAAATAATAATAGAACTTGCCCTTCCCCTCAATATTGGGGAAAATTCCGTGATAACACGATATATACCATGCCTTGCTTCAAGGTAATATTGCAGAGAGGAACTATTTTGTTCCACTACAGTGCAAACATCATTGTGCCCTTGAGAGAAAGCCCTGCCAAAGCCAGTGTTCTAGCAGAAGTGGAGAGCGTAGTTTGTCTCTTGCGGTCACACACCCCAGCTTTGACCCTGCTATTTCACGTCTCCCTGTTTCCTCTGGATCTTGAGCTTGTTCTCTCCGCGTCATACGAGTGTTGCGTCTGTGTTTGGCTGCGACCCATGCAATGGCATAGCAATGGGGGGCCCTGGGCCCCGGGTACCAGGCGTCCCAATCACGGGGGGTGGGGGGGGGTGCTACCTCTGGCAACACCCAGCCCCCCACCCCGCTTTACTGGTTGCTTGCAATTTTGGGGAGTGATTGGGGGCTACGAAAGACTTAAGAGCCCTAGTTGCCAGATGGCCTAGCTATGCCACTGGACCCATGTTCAATCAGTGAGGACTTGTTTCATCTGAACGCTGACACTGCACCCGTGCGACACTCTTCCATTACAGGAGCATGTTACAGGAAGTGGCCTGGAGCAAGCTATGTAATACAATCCGTGTTAATAAGGAAAGTCTCCTGCCCAAAATCTCGACTGCCATTTAAAAAGTTTCTCTACTGCTGACCTCAATGAAGGGTCTTTCTATCTGCATATTTTCATATGTACTGATCGAAGGGTTAGGCCAACTTGAACTTGCAACCCAGTTTTTCAGTCGAATGTGTGCAAAAGGCCCGTTTCGGGTTTCTTTTTCTTCAGCTGTGAGCAGGCTCTGGAACCACCTCCATCTGATGGAGTCACTTGATCCGGAGCTTGTGGCTGCGGTCGTGTCGCTTGGGGGAGACAAGGACGATGCACTTTCGAAGGCTCTGGGGCAGTTGCAGTGTGCCTGGGACTACCATGTTCACAACCTCTTCAAGAGCCTCTTGCTGATGACTGACCATGAAGCTTTCTTCTCCTGTCTTGGTAAGGTGCTGCTTGTTGGACAAATGTCTCATAGGGCGTGTGGCATTCAATAGTGGGCTCATGTTGGGGGTACGTTGGTGGCTACCGTGTTTGTTCAACTCTGAGCTGGATGTTCTTGACGGAAAAGACTGGTCGAGTGCATTAGTGAGGCAAGACTATAGAAAAATTTACTATCGATACTATCAATAGCTTTTCCAAAACTATCGACAGTGTCAGAAACTATCAAGTGGACTATCGATAATACAGTCGATAGTTGACTATTGATAGTCGGCTATCGATAGTTGGCTATCGATAGCCTTATCAATAGTTTACTCTCAATAGTACTATTGATAGTACAGTCGATAGTACTACCGATAGTACTATCAATATAAAGTGCAACGCACTTATAGCGATACCACATATAACGATGTGCTGCTTTCTAGACTGTAAATGATTAGTTTCTAGTCTAGATACAACGATAATCAGTAATAATGATTGAAAGTTTGGGTTTTCTGATTATTGTTATTAGTGAATTGCACTGTAGTTGGCTTTTGGTTGTCTATCAATAATACCAGAAGTCAGTGTTCAGGAAACTATTGAGTGTTACAAAAATGAAAACACTACCCAAAACGGGAATGTTGGCGAATATGTATCGGCAGACAATGCGTGGTTTTGGGAAGAACGTGAAATTGAAGGGAAACAAAACAAAAAGTTGCATTCTCATACAATGAATTCACCTTCTAGTTTTCCTGCGCAGATATTTTGTAGATTCGTGGAGTTCAGATATCAGGCTTCGCACTTTAGTATGCCCGCATTTGTAAGACTATAAATTATATACAGTATTTTTTATTTTTTTTTGTCTTGGAGCTAGGGAAAATATTTGTTGAAGACATTAGCATCAGGGTTTTCACAAGTTTGTTTCACGCTTGTGTTTCCTTTATTATTCAATTGTTACATATCACTTTTCATAGCCTGGACCACTGATAGGTGAAATTGAGCACTCTGCTGGGGATCATTCTTTTTTTTTTCTGCTGATGACCATTCATAGCGAATTCCCGAAAATCGCGAATTAGCTCTTGACAAAAGCAGTTAGGCTAGTTTGTTTGCCATGATATTTTGCCACTTTTTGTTCGGTTCTATTTAGGCAGATTTTAATAACGGTGGCTGAAAAAATATTTGCCTGTTGGTATAAAATATGACTTCAAAATACGGAAGTCGTCGCACAATCTATAAATAAATATTTTTGAATCAATAAATGTAACAGATTTTGTTTTGAAGACTTCAAATTGAATACTATTATGAGATAAAAATCTTATACCAAACCAACATGTTTAGTTACTGATGCTTTTAGTTTTTTCATTCTTCAAATACTATAAGTTTGTGAACAATGTTAACTGGATCAAACATAAAATATAAAAACAAAAATTTTCTGTGATCTAAGTAACGGTGTTGGTGGCAATGAGGCATTATTTCAGTGAAAAAAAGCTTGTGAATTCGAAAGACAATACTATTTTCTTTCTCGCAACCTGTTTGGTTCGGAAGAACGCCACACTTTTCATCCGGGTAAAGTTATGTCCTCCATACTTGTGCTTTCAATCACCATTGCTGACATCATTTTCAAGCAGTGTTCCGGATTTATGCAACACGTACAGTTGGGGACTAAAGTTTGTGGACCACGGGAGCGGTGACCGATATGTATTGCTACGCCTTCTGATGGCGTGGCACCTGCTGTCGAGGCCGGCGCATGGCTTATGCGTGTCCTTCCATACCGGTCTCGACAGCAGGTGTCGCACCATCAGAGTGCACAGCAATGCATGTCGGCCACCGCTCCCGTGGTCTGGAAACTTTTGTCCCCGACTGTACATAGTTTACTTATCAGGGGCCACAGGGATTTTCATTTCTCTGATTGAGCTTTTTCTTATTAAAAAGCAAAGGGCACACCCCAGAAAGCAATCTAAAACAGCAAAAAAAGTCTTCGACAACCTATCAAGGTGATGTCTTTTATTTATATTTTTTAATAGTACTACCGGTATACAATAAATAGTTGTTTAGTAATAGTTTATTGCCAATAGTTTCTAAGGAGGATTTATACCATTTTCTGATTGTTTGCCAATAGGTTTTAGATTGTTTTTCACTAATTATGCATAAGTCCCTAATTTCAGTTGCGTTTTTCTCCAAGCTTCACAACATTTCCCGAATGAACACATAACATTGTTTGTCACCGTAATAATAAAACACTATCGATAGCTTTACGATTGTTGGCTATCGATAGTTTCACGGTATCCGACTATAAACAATTTAACGATAGTCGATTATTGATAGTATCCTATCAAGGATGGGCAAAATACATGCAAATATGTATCGAAATACAAATACAAAATACTTCATCAAAAATGTATTTAATTACAAATCTAATTACATTTCCAAAAAAAGAAATTTAAGTACAAGATACAAATACAGTAAAACCTCGTTATAACAAAGTTGAAGGAGCGGTCGTAATTATTTCGTTATAACCATTAGTTTGTTATAGCCAATGTCCATTTCTTCCCACTATTAGCAAGCAAGGGGAATTGTGATTGCTTTGTTATATCCATTAGTTTGTTATATCCCGTTTTGTTATAACGAGGTTTTACTGTACAACCAAATGTATTTGGTCTCCTCCAAATACTTTTCCTCCAAATACTTTTCCAAATACATTCCTCAAAATTTGCGTCAGCGACTTCAGGGCACCTGCAACAGGTTTCTGGGTATCTCATTTTAATTTTGCATCGCACACTCGGGAGTTAGTGTACGGGGCTCTAGTAACGTAATAGAAATATAATCACAAAAAAAAATGTAATGAGCTTGGACGTACTAATAGGTGAAAAAAGTACAGAGCTTTAAGCAGCTTTTTTTGTCGATTACATTTTGGTATAGACCAACAAAGAACCGAGACGACCAAGACGCGCAGCACTAGCTAGAGAATTTTTTATTGTTGCAACTCGCACCAATTACGAAAATCTGGACAACCCGCGCATTTAGAATGTTCCAGGCAAAAATATGGATGGAAATCAGGCTGGAAAGCATCACAAGTTGTCACAGGCACTTATTTAGCCAGTCTGCCTGTGAACGTCGATTTTGTCACTATTCTTGCCCTGGACTAGCACCGTAATCACAAAGTCACTAAACGCTTGTGCTTGACTGAGAGACACTACATTTGGTGCAGAACATGGTTTTCTTCCTGCTCTGGACAGTGACAATAAATTTGAGGGATATATTTTTGCCCACAAAATTGTATTTAATTACAATTGTATTTAAAATACTCACATTTTAGTATTTAAATACACACGTCAAATACATTACCCAATTTGTAATTAAATGCAAAATACACAATGTATTTGAAATACATATTTCAAATACTACTTGTATTTGAAATACTGTCCATCCCTGTATCCTATCAAGTTTCATGGTAGTCGACTATCGATAGTGTACTATTGACATTTTTACAATAGTTGACTATTCTTAGTATACTATTGATAGTTTTACAATAGTCTACTATCAATTGTATACTATTGATAGTTTTTTTGCGTAGTCGCTTCCACTATTGATAGTTTTGCACCACTAGAGTGCATACCCAAAATGGGAAAGTAACTCTGTTAAATCGGGGATGAGCATTTGCTGGTGCCAGATTTATGGGTAGTACATGTGCTTTGGTCAGTTTTGAAGTCTTCGAAGCGCCTGGAAAATAACTTTAGTAGCATTAAAGAAAACAAGACATAGCATATTTCAATTGATTGGATATGCCGCATACATTGCAGTGATGTCATTTTTTGTTGCTGACTTGCTAAGTAACAGGTCTTTAGGCCAGGGATTCAATACTTGTGAGCTGTTTAGACTTTTATGTTTTTATTGGAAGCGTGCAACAGGACAGTGGCACCAGAATGCGGCTCCTAGTAGAAGCATTTTGCATCGACCTCGGCCGAACTGGCATAGGCATCCTGTGTAGCCGCCAACCTTAGTTTCCAATCAATGCCCACTTATTCGAGCACAGCGCTGTACAAAACGTTCAGGGGCAGTCGGTGCTAACTTGTTTTACATAAGACCTGGAAATTGAGGACACAAATCTTCATACGCTGGTGAAAACTGCTGTGATTATCTCAATCTGAGTACATCTGCTCGATCCACCAGAGAGCGAAAAGCAATTTGATAATGAGAGGAGAGAAAAAAAAATTAGCTGCATGTTTGGTCATTCTGTCGAACTCATTGAACTTCAGTAGTTTTATAGGGTGGGTGGTGCTGTTAGTTTAGGTGGTGCCGAGGGCAGGATGACCCTTAGTCTTCCAGTGTTTGGGGTGGGTGGTGCTCTTAGTTCAGCTGGTGCCTAGGGCAGTGTTTTGTATGGAAACAGATTGTGTTGCACCATATCTCTTTGTGATGCTGCATGCGCTTCCCTTCAGCACCACCCAGATACAAAGCCTTTGGGCTGAATTTTTGGGCTGAATTTGGACTCCTCGTTCTGCATACTTTTGCTACTCCAGCTGTTTGTGCTCCTCTCTTTGTTGCCCTTTCCACCCCTCCGCTACACATGCTTTTTCGCACCTCCTGCTTCTGCTCCTCCCGTTCCTGCGCGCTGGGTCCGTAGCTCAGTCAGCGGCGCGCTCGGCTTCCACGCTTGTGACCAGGGTTTGATCTCTGGCACCGGTTGCCGTTTTTCTTTCACGATCATTTAGCGGTTACAGACTGACCAACTTATACATTTCATGCTTACGCGGCTCCTGATGTTGGTTGTCACTATAAAGCTACCTCTTTAAAATACTTCTCGTGTAGGTTTGATCAATTACTGACACTGGTGAATGTTGTTTCATAGTCGTTTCCGGAACGTTGGACAGACAAACACTTCATAGTTTTCGAATGTCGTACGTTTTCGAATGTCAAGATGCCAAACCTTTACTTCAGAGCAAGATCGTGAGACACGGCCACTTGAAGGCACAGACACAGTTAAGATGCTCATGGGCAGTAGGAGAGGCCGGAGTGGGCAGCGCCTCACTGTGCAACATTACGTGGACGCTGTCACTGGTGACGCTGCCAACCAGCTGCCAAGGCAAAAAACCTTGCCCCCTTTGGGTGTCACATGCTCCAAATTGTTGCACTCTGTAGTTCCTTGCAGCTTTGTTTGAGTTTGCTTGTAATGCTTAAATTCCATCTTCATGTTCAGGACTTACTCTGCTAATAGTTGTTGGTTACTTCTAGTGGACTGTGGAAGATATGGCACCTTCCAGCATGTCTCAGCATTTACACTAACACTTGGAACCCACTTTAGGCAGTCCGCAAAAATTGGTTTCTCAATATATTGCGCTGCGATGTACTACAGAGATGCGGCTTGTGGTGGAAGCTTAAAGTGAAAATATCAACGGATGAACTTATCTTGTTAAAAAAAAAAAAAGAAAAAGAATAACCTCTTTTGGGCATTCCACAGCGGCGTTCACAGACGTTGCGTGCTGTCTGCTCAGTGTTGCCGACAGATGTCGGGAGCATCGAGGATACCTCGGCTTCGAGCTTAGCAGGTAATCTTCTGGAAGCTTTGACGTACGCTTCCTCAGCGCGGCGTGTGTCTCTGTAATGTACGAATTTCAAAGTGCTACATTTTTTCAATAAACTAAATATGAAAAGTGGTATCCCCAGAGCCACCGTTTGTTGTACCAAGATGATCGAATGAGGCGCCGCATTTTTTCGCACTTGACGTTGCGCCATCTGCTGGCATCACTTACAAGTCGGCGAGCACCGTTATGGCACAGTCTGCGAGTGCCGTCGTAAATAGCCTGATATTTTTTTTTTATTTTGAACGAGCTAAGTTCATCTGTCAATACTTTCACTTCAAGCTTCCACTAACTAGCCCCACTTCTCTAGTAAATCACAGAGCAATTAGTTGAGAAACTGAATTTTGCGGACCGTTTGAAGTGGGTTCGAAGCGTTTGTGTATCGGCAGCAGTGTAGAGGTTTTACCATTTTTGTTTGTGTGTGCACTGTTTTGTGACATTGACTATTTAATTTGATCGAATTATGTAATGACTAGAGGTGTACAAATAAATATTAAAAAAAATTTTTCTAATCAAATTTAAAATTTGACTGCGAATCGAATTTGGTATTTTCAAATATGAATATTTTACATTTAATCTGAATGAGGCATGAATACTTTAAGAAATCAGGACTGGGCATTTTTTTTAAATCCTGCTGCAGGTTAAGAAGTGCAGGACAAGCTCCTACTGCAAAGCCTTGCACTCTTTTCACTTGAGTAGAGTGAACGCTGGAGTGGAGGCAAGTTATTCAGCATTCACTCACTAAAGTGGAATGAGTGGCAGGCTTTATGGGAGGAGCGTCTCCGGATTTTCTTTACATCCAACAGGGTATAGAAGGCCTATAAAAAGGAACAGTTTAATTGCACGTGAAACATTTTACATACTGCTTGTATTAAGAAAAAAGGCACATGAGTTGGGTAAAACATAATGTAACATGGCAAGCGAGGCAATGACTACCATATTTATTTGAGTAGCTTGAGGTTTCCTTACCCAGCACTCCTTTAAAAAGCCACTGAAAAGAAAATTTTTCTTTTTTTAAAACAGTGCCGTCAATATTGCTCTAAAAAAATAAAAAAATTTTTTTTTGCGTCAAATTTATTTTTTGACATTCATGTCCCAGCCAGGTTTTTTAAAAAATATTTTTTTTCTTCTCTTTATTGGTTCTTTAAAATTGAGGGTCGAACTGCAATTGTAACCAGAGAAGGCTGACCTGCAATACCTAGTGAGTAAAATTTCAGACGTACTGACAGGTCAGCCGTTTCTCCTAGCACACCGATGCAAAGCAGTGAAGCTTGATGTGACAAAGTGGATAATTTTGAGGACATCGTAGTACTAGCCATGTGTGAATAGTGGATTTTGAGTTCGAAGCAAATAGTGATTTCGGCTGAACATTTTTTAATTGAATAGTTTCTCCACGCCTTCCACTACCAGCTGAACTCGTGAAGGTTGTTCCCAAGCTTCCACTTGTCCACATCTAAGCTAATTTTAATCAAACTATATTTATGGACTGTGGCCTTAGTAAGTCCCATGCCTACATTGGGGTGACAAGGAAATGACGAATGTGTCATAAAAGAAACCTATTGAGATGCCCAGCTATACCTAATAGAGGGGACTTGTAACTCATCTTGCTACGTACAAATATCCTTTCTTCAATCTCAAATGTAAAAAAAAACAAAAAAACACTCCTGTATGACAATTGCAGGTTATTGGGTCATCTGTCTAACATATAGACCAACTCATGTTTACAAACAAACCGGAGTGCCCCTAGCGGACGCCACCGGTGCCGTGCATGCGCGATGGAGTGTGGGCGAGAAGCTCACCGTTGCCCATAAATAAACCATTGGAATGCGATGTCGGCATTGGTGTGATTCCCCGTGTTCTTTTTCGCATTGGAATTGTCCTGGCAATTTCTGACTACATTAGCGGCCTCAGCAAAATTAACAAGGCTCGTTACACCGCAAAGCTTCGCATGAATAATGTGACATACGGCGATTAATTCCGTGTGGACGTCGCAGAATTAACGCTAGAGCCTGATTCGCATGATGATATTCTGCTTGCCATTTTCGGTCACGACATCGCTCGGGCTGCTATATCGGGGACCGTAGCTGAGATGGTCGACGTCGAAACTAAAAATCACAAGCAGAATCAGATCAAGTGAATCAGATTGTTGATGGCCCCGGGTAACAATGATAAGCATCTCCTTGTATCTACTGTTTACACTGAGCCTACTTACCCCAACCAACCTTCAAACTTAAAAGTCTGTCGAGACCTGCACTTACTTCTGATCAGAATTACCGGGTCAACGTTTTGTCTACGGGTGCTGTCGCTTGAACAAGGAGACGACAACAAGCAGAAACGTTTGAGAGAGCAGACGACAGTTTGAAATGATCAGGCGGCCGTTTGAACTTGAAGATGCACTGAACGTAGTCTGCAGGTGGTCCATACAACTTGGTGGTTTTCCCGCCTTCATGTTGGAAGAAAACAAATAAATCTCGACGAACACAAGTATCCATGAAATCAACCCAAAGTGCTTCCCGCTCAAGCAATCGTGGTCCGACGGCGTCTGGTTTTCCTTTTTCATAGCACCTATCCACGTTCTCGGACGAACTGAGCAGGCAGAAAACGCATGAAAACTGACCTTCAAAACTTCCCCGACTCTTTTGGTACAGCTCGTACATTTTGACGAGAAGACGGGTTTTTGTATGGTATCTTCAAAAAAAAAATATGCAGGAATGCACGTCCTGCATGGAGATTTCTGGTGACTTCCGCCCACAGCTCCAGACCGGAAGTGCGTTCGACGCGCCACCACTGCACTGTGACGTAACAGAGCTGAGTTTGTGTATACTCTTGCATAATAGCAACAGTTTAATTTCCAAAATTTTGCTGCAGAGTAGATATCAAAAATCACAAAGTTTCTGTTTCTTTCTAAGTGCACTGGGCGTGCACATGCACCATCCCACTTTGAGGGTGTGCTTTCCTTGTAAGCATGCAGCTATGCTGCAGCGAAATGAGCTCCGCAGGTGTTACTTCCAGGGCGTGCACCAGACGCAGAAAGAGGGCTTGACATGCTCTCTCGGCCATCCAGAAGCCGAAAAGGATGCCTTAGCGGTGGTAGCGAGAAACAGTTTTAATCATAGGTATATGGTTTTAATAAGCTCGTAAGATTTAAATGTAGTAACTCTTCACGATTAAAAATAGGGTGCACGTGATGTTTCGATTATGATCCTGCAGAAAGATGTAAGAAACAAATGTGCCGCTCAAACTCTGTTTTGCTCTGACAGAGTGTGACCGCTCGGACAACAAATTCCCGGCCCTCAGCGCCTGGCGTACGGATTTTGTCGATTGTTTCGCTAGTTGCACTCTTCCACCATGATTTTAAATGACCGTGATTGAAACATCACGTGCACCATATTTTCAGTCACCGAGAGTTACTCTGACGCACTTATTAATTTTGTTTCTTGCGACCGCCGCCAGAGTGTCATTTTTGGCTTCTGGTTGGCCACATTTGAATTTGTGAAGACGCCCTGGGACACGTCCAGCACACTTTCGGCCAGTGGTGCCTCCTCATTTGTCTCCTATACTTCCCAATGAATGGCCAAACTCTGTATATACGGCTCTGGGCTGACCCACCACGATCAGCACTTTGAAAATTATAAATATTGCAATTCATCTTGAACTGAATCTCAAATAGCATATTATTTGGAACTGATATTTGAATATTCGCACAACCTTACGATATATTTGTAGCTCGAAAAACTCAAATACTTTGAACAGTAAAAGTGTGTTGCAAATTGAACTGAATAGCCCACACTATCCTCAAATAATTTGAAGTTTGGAAAATATGTGCATCTCCAGTCAGGGCATTTTGTCTTTTGGTGGACAGACGGGTGCCGTTTTCATTTCAGACAGCTCAATCAAGAGCAGCATTGCTGTCTTGGCGGACGGTTCCCTGGATGAGAGTGGTCTTGCCAGCGTAACAGGCGATGTGGCCTCAAGAGTGGGTTCGGCTGCAGACTTGGCTGCATTGTCGTTTGAGGGAAAATCCCTACCAGATTCCCTGCAAACAGCCGTGGAGCATCTGTTGGTCGGTAAGTCAAGCCTATCAATTTTCAAATTCAATTAATGTTTCTCTAATTAAAAGAAATATGAGGCGACCTTTGTCTCCAGAGCGGAGTACTTGGCAATGTGCATAATGGGGAGTAAGAGTGTCTCTAATGGGGCAGGCAAGTCGACTAGAGTGCCTTTTTCCATGCATGAGAGAGGAGTGTGACAAAAGTGAGAAGGCTTGATCATGTGTGCGACCAAGCTCCACCCCAGCGGATGGCATTCTCTTTAGTGGGGAAGCGTCTCGGTTATGAGTTCCTTGTTTGTTGTAGCAGCTGTGGTAGTCGTTAGTCAACAAGTCCAACCTACTCTTCGAGGTATTTCCTCTCTCCTTCCTTGCTGGTTTGTAAATAGACAGTGGATTTCCGACAGCCGCAGGAAAGGCAAGGTAGTCATTGCTGTGAATAGCATATGACGCCACCGCAGCGTGGCTGTGTCGCTGCCACTGGCCCCTGCCTGGATTGGTTCTCCAATCAGAGTTCACAACCCAACAGACGTGGACCTGTGACTGTAGAAAACAAGGGAAGCACGACGCCACAAATGGCACTTGCTAAATACCCTTTTATGGAACAACCAATGAATGATGTCTTAACAGATGCTGCATCTCATGTTCACCGTGCACTGCCTCTCATCTGAAATTATTTTATATCAATGTGCCAAGAAACAAAATGTAACTTTCCATCTGGACTGAAATGGACAGCCTGAAGCCAAGTTGTTCTCTCCGTGAGAACAGTACTGTACTTGCATACTTTGAAAGCTTAACTCTTCCCTTACCACGGGAAAAGTGTCATTTTGGGAGGGTTGCAGTAATATTTTTTTATTTTGAAAAACATGTGCTTCTAAAATTTGTTGCGATATACCAAAATGCGGCACAATACATGCTCTTTCCCATAATATATGTATAAAATAGGAGTCAGTAAATTATACAAGATTTAATTTCTGAAACCCAAAATTATTGTGGCCGACACAAGAAAGATTAGAAATATATCCAGATATCTCGGAAAGAAATGATAGCTGAAAAAGTCCAAAATACAAAAGATGGCAAATTTCAATAGCAGGAAAGGTTGGGATTTGTAATGCTATAAATAAAACGCCCTCAAGTTCTACCACATAATCTCAACCATCGTGGCGTGCAAACCATCCGGTGAAATTGTTTCTGGATGGGATAAGACGTGGGTAAATGTCGCAGGTACTGCAGAAGACATTTGTCTTGTGCTCAACTTCACACTCCTCGTTAAACATTCTGCAATTGTGCCGTTTCGTCATTTTTAGAGGCTAGTAATGCAGTTGTTTAGGGGCAGGAGAGGGGTCGGACATACTCTACATCAAGTCCAAGAAGCCATTGGGCGAGCTCTATTCGGGATGCCATCTGATCAAAACATGCACTTCTGTAGAGTTCAGGAATGTTTGCGTGCTACTTGCGGTGTGCTCGTAAAAAGAATGCACTAGCTGTTGGCAGCTGAGATGTCAATGCAGTGAAAGAAGAGTGCCTTCTACCAATTGGACACACTTCATCGGGATGTTGTATGATCTGATCAATTGGTCTGATTTGTTAAGTCCGAGCATTCCTGCGTTGTAGTTGTTGTCGAGCTGTCGCTTCTCGATGGAGATCAGTGACCATGTATCTCCTCTTTTTACCTCCGTTTTGCAAGCATAAGCTTGTTGGCAGTATGTACAGTGCTCATCACGTGTACGATGTGCCAATCTTTCCATTGAAGGAACAAAAACATTTTGATCCCGTAGCCACAGAAATTTTATGATCCGACATCATCATCCGACTCGCTCGTGCTAGTGCCACCAATAAAGTTGACTGCAAATGCGCTCGAATCGCGAGACTTCAAATTCGAACGCTACTCTGCAGGCGTGCCGCGCAATGGAGACACCATGTTCTCAATGCAAAGCGCTAACTCCTAGGTTGTACATTTGATCACAGTAAGTTGCCATCTCGTAAGAGAAAAAAAAAAGAACTATACAGAAACTGAAACTAGAGTGTCTAATCTAACCACCAGATGCCTTAACTTGTCCAGAAAGTTATTGTGGGCTTTTCAGTGGGGCTCGGAAGTCGTCGATCATGGGTAATCGAATTTAAAGGGGCACTGACACGTCAAATTCTTTTTTTTTTTTTTTTATTATCTGAAACTATTGAAATTGATGGCTGGACATTACCCTCAAAATGTGAAACTTGGGAATTCAGTATTTGTGAAATAAAAAAACAATTTCCAAATGCCGAATTTGAAGTTCCTGCGTGATCCGCGCCAGTGCAGTGACGTCAAATATTCAGTGTGTCTACCAACCGGGAATTCTCAGGGATTTTGAATAGTCTGGAAAATCTCAGGGAAAACTCAGGGAATTTGTGCTTCTATCAGGGAATTTTTTTTTAGAAGTGTTACAGATGGACTTTCACAGTCCAAAATTCTTCAGATTTCAATGGAATGGGCCAAGCGTACAGTCGAGCCGGGTTTTATCTCACCCGTGTATTTTGAATTATTGTTTAAGTATATGAAACAGTCCAAACATCCCCTAGAAAATCACATTGTTTTTCTGTAATGACACGCGATGTAGCGAACGAAGACGAAGCATGGCCAAGCGCGGCCGTCCTTCGCTTTTCCCGGGGTCGGATTGCACCGGCGGGGAGCACATAGCTCGGGTTGCGGGGCTGGCAGACCGCCAAGCCAGGATATGCGCACGTGGGGATACGCAGCGACAAAGCAATGGACCTCTTGGCGAATATGTGCTGCCACCTAGACACACGACTGGGTTCGAGGCTAAGTGGCGAGAAAACAACGTGCGCGCAAGGCCTCTCCCACCCGTTCCACACCCAAAACGTCGGCTACATCCTATTCACCGATTGGGGCGCTGTGACCTAGATACGGCTCCCCCAAACTCGCCTTTGTCCCCATCGTGCGTAATCTTCCTCCCCGAACTCGACACAATGAAACCATCTTCCCTCTCTGCTCGGCCAGAAGGAAGAGAGTGAGGGTACTGGAACTATTTACTCTCGTACCGATGTTTCTACAAAAGGTCCATTGTATAAAACAAGAACAAACAAAAAACCATAAAAACAAAAAAAATGGAGGATGGCAAAAGAAAAGGGAAGGGCACCCGCGCGCGTAGGGAGGGCAGAGAGTGCCCGCTGTTGGAACGATCGTGTGCGCTCTTTTCCCCGAACACCGCTGTCGCTGCAACCCCAAAATAAAGTGAGCAAAAAAAAAAAAAAAAAGATTTTGTTTAGTGGATTGCGTTGACAACAAAAGTTGAGCAATCGCACTTTGAACGCCTTATCTTTGTTTACCTTTTTCTTTCCTGGTTATCGCTCCAGTTTTTTTTTAGAGCGCAGCTCTTAGGCGCCCGTTTCCGGCTTGAGCGGCATCGCCATCGGCGTAACCGTGAGTTCACGTGACCCCCCCCCCCCCTGAGGTCACTTGACCCCCCTGAGGTTACCTGACCCCCCCCCCCCCCTCCTCCCCGAGGTCACATGACCTCACGGGGGGGGGGGGGGGGGTCATGTAAACCTCAGTTTACTTTTTTTATATTTTATTCGCTATGAATCTTACTTACCACTCCGTTCTGTTTTCTTTTTGAATCTAATAAAAGTGAGTTCTTACCATTAAAACTGTATTATGTCGTTTTTTTAAATTTTATAACATGCTTTTTAGAGAGTGACAGCATCTAGCGACATGGTGTGAGCCCATCTTAACCTAAAACGAAGTTCTGTGTCACTCGGGGAATTGCACAAAAGTATGCAGGGAAAACCTGGAAAACTTAGGGAATTTAAAAATGTCAACTTGGTAGACACCCTGATATTGAACCATTCTGCGAGTCGAGTTTCTCTGATGCCTCCGAATAGTTGTGTTCGCCGGCGTCCCGGGAACAACCGGCTGCGAGCAGATGACGCTCGACTTTAGAGTTTGAAGTTCTTTTGGGGCCCTTTCAGCGATCTCAAATTCTTTGAAAGGGTGTGAGGTCGAAGAGAATGCGCAGTGGGCTTTTGTGAGCGACATGAGGGGCCACGTCGCGCCGGTTCTGCGTAAAAGGCTGCCCCGGCAGAGTCACAACTGCAGCTATGATACACAGACACCAAACCCAGTTGTTTTGACCGTTTTATGATTTCCTTTTTGAAGTCGGAGTTTGTCGGGCATCTAAAAAAGACCACTTCTTCCGATTCCCCGACTTACCGATCATCCTCTACTATATGCACAGAGGCTACCTACATGCGTCGAGCACTGCCATGTTTTTTCAGGGAGGATAAGAAGCTAGGAGGGGACAACACACTGGACACCGATTTTCTGTATTTCAAAAAGAAGGGCCGTAGTGCGTTCGGAATTGCATTAAAAAACATGTTTGACGAATGCCGTTATTAAATGCTATAGAACTGTAGCCTAGAAAGCTTAAAAATTTCATGATATTTGACGTCACAAATCAACAGAAGCGAAGAGGTGAGGAGTGGGAGAGAAAAACGGCAAAAACAAAGAGGCGCGCGCGCGCGTGGTTAAATTTTGGTTTTTTGCGTTGCGGTATTTTTTTGCGTGTCTATGACTACAACTTGCATCGTTTTAGAGAACAAAAAAAATAAAACCTTTTGGGTGTCAGTGCCCCTTTAACTTGCACAGTATGGAAAGAGTTAATGTTATAACACAGAATCTTTCAATTGGTAGAGTACCAGTTATGGAATATGTTGTTTCCCACCTTTTGTTTGGCTTACCTGAACTCCGGCAGGACTCTTAGCATCTGAAGATTAAAAATTAAGATTTTTTTTGTTAGTTGTGTACTGAGATTACATTTTTCAGCTCGAAATGCCCTGAAGTCCACACCTGCAGACAAGGCCTTGAAGCGGGCAAAGGTCGTCCGTGGATGCGTCAAGAGAGTCCAGGAAGAGCTAAATGTCCACCTGGAGTCTGTGTCAGTCACATCTTCAAGCTGTGCAAGTAAGCACTGCGACATACTGATTGTAGTTTCTCAGTGCATTGTGTTTTTGAGGTTGAATGTCAGGTGAGAAACTACAGTATGGCAAAAATGCTCCTAAAGGGGCACTGAAGTCGGTTCTGAGATCATGCCTTTGTGCTGACAACTCAATCTAGACGCTCTAAGTATCCCAATGAACCCGAAATTACAACCGTGCGTAGCTTATTTCTTCGTTAAAAGCGTGTTCAAAGATCGCGACACACCCTTTTTTGGGAAGAATTTTTTTCCGAGTGAAGTGGTCGACAAAGGCCGCTTGTCGGCGAGTTGCAAGCGATGGCTTCGCCTACAATGAAAAAGACGAGTCGTATCTGAATGTGTACCTATCGGACACTTTTCAAAACGACGTATAATGAAATCATTCGGAATCTGCGCATAATGTAGGGCTTTCATTGGTTCACACAGCGTAGTCCGCGATAAAAAAGAGTCCACATGTTTTTCTCTTGCTCTGAGATGAATAGGCAGTTTTGTAATATAGGACTTGGTATATACAGGAACTAACACCTTTTAAACAATACATATAAGATCAAAAACAACCTTTTTCAAAAATGAACTCAGTGCCCCTTTAAGTGTGGTTGTTTGCACGCTGTCTTTTTTCAGAAAGAAGAGAAACATAGGGGCAACACAGACGGAACAAGATTGTCCTGTCTGTGTCGTCCCTTATGTTTCTCCTTTTTCTAATTGTTTAAAAGCCACCAACACGCTTAAATAGTACAAATCGCTTCAGGAAGTTCTGATTTTAAAACGATACACTTAATTTTTGATGGTCGTATAGTTGTGCCTTGTCGCTTTCTTTTGGGGTTTACTGTGAGCTGATAACCGGCCAGTGTATCACCATCTTCCAGTGTATAGTGTGGGCAAGTGGTGCGGCACCATTGGGAGTTACATTGCTTCAGACATTTTTTTTCCTATGCAGTACAATGCCCTCCAAAATGTCGAAGTATGTCGGTAGTCCTCGGTTGATTGCAAGGAAACTAAGTTCAACTTTTGCCCTTGGTGTCGTGTGTCCGGGCTACTATCTGTAGCCTATAACTCGAGACAAAGTTCATGGAAGAAAATTTATACTAAGGCCTTTTTGGCTGCACATTATTCTTCAACATTTATCATATCTCAAAATATTCCAGGCGCATATCATAGGTAAAACCCGTTTATAACGAACAGCATGGGGCGCTACGATTCGTTTGATATATCAAGTAGTTTGATATAGCAGTAACCGTGTACAGCAAACTTCTGTGATGAGTTTGCTATTCACAGTATACGTCGTCAAAGTAAACAGAAAACTCATGCCACTTACCACTTACGAAATCAGTTTATTGAAAACAAAAAGCTATGCACAGTATGCGGTTATTTTAGCTTGAGATTTCACCTTGCCAACATCCATGACGGTAGCATTGTCTATGCGAGAAAGTGCAGGCACAATTTTGAGTCCACTTCCCTAGATGCCAGAGCAGTAGTGGTAAAGCATGTCCACCACCGAAAACGCCTCGTGAAGCGTCGGACAAGGTGGCTCTTCGTCTTCGGGATCCTCAGCTTTCTTGCAGTCATCAACAGCAGCAGCTGCCGTCATGTCGGCAGCGATGTCTGTGTCCGAGAGTGCTGCAGTCACAGCAACGTCATCGTCGATCGCCAAAAAATCGTCGAGTTCGACTCGATCCGCCATCATGTCAAGTTGGCGACCGAGCTCCTGCCAGAGACCAACAATGTCATTGTTATTGTTGACATCCGCTGGAGTCGCTGCTTCATCTTCCAGGCTGAGTCCCGCATGACGGAAGTAATTGCGAATGGAGTTCTTGGTGATGTCACTCCGGGCGCGGTTGAGCATTTCGATCACAGCAAGCAAGTCAACCTGCAACTCTCCGCTGACATGCAACTTGACGAGGAACTGTTCTACCACACGCTTTTGGCTTTTAAATGCTCAGATGATACCTCGGTCGAGGGGTTAAAGCGTAGCGTTGGGTGGCAGAAAACATAACTCGATGTTCCTGAGTGAGATGCCCCAGTGATGCGCCGAACAATTATCTAAGAGCAAGCAAACCTTGCGGCCACTGGGGGTTAGTTGGTCGTCCCAGTCCTGCAACCACTTTCCGAGCAAACTCCTCGTCATTCATGCCTTCCCATTGAAAGTGTATGTCATGGGCAGGGGGCAGCACCCTCGTGGACATCCGGGTGACTTGAACTTCCCGACGACAAGCAGGTGAAGTTTCGACGAGCCGTCCATGCTGGTCATCAGGACTACAGCGATGCGACTCTCGTTCGTCTTGCCACCATGGCACTTCTCATTTCGGTGCACTAAGGTCTGACTGGGAAGAAGTTGCCAAAACAAAGCAGTGCCGTCTGCGTTGAATATGTCGCACGGCTCGTATTTCGCCCTGATGCCCGGCCAGTTGTCGTCTATCCACGTCTTGACACCTTCATTGTCCACTGTGCACTTCTCTCCGGCCACGCCTTTTTGGACAATTGAGTACCGGTCTTTAAACCTCCACAGACACCCGATTCTGCTTCAAAGCCCTCAATCTTGAGGACGAATGCAAAATCTCTCGCCTTGCCTTGTAACAATAGACCGGAGACTGGAATGTTGCGGGCACGGATGTCCAAGAACCATTCCTAGAGTGCTTTCTTCACCTTGTCGTATGCCGGCTTCCGGATGTGCCTGCCGTCCGCGTTCGGCCGTTCACGGGTTTTGTCCTCGATAGCAGCTTTGTTTCTTAGGATTGTTCTCGACATACTTTTTGGGATCTCGTAGGCGACGGCTACGTCCAACTTCTTCTCGCCACGCTCCACACGGCGAATGATCTCGACCTTGTCGGAAAGGGGCAGAGCTGGCCGCTGCTTAGTCGTCATTATGCGAGCTAAACGGCCAGCGCACACCTCGCTCAACCAGGCGCAGCCTCACAGTGCGGAAAATTTACAGCGTAATGAAGGAAGCGATGGAGGCAGGTGAACACAGGCGAACAGGCCAGCAGGCGACGACGCAATGACGTGCCAACAGCACCTGACATAGCTGGCAGACCTGCAACGCGATAGGCTCAAGGAGCAGACGATAAAAGGAGGCCAAGGTCGAACGAGCTGTTGCCAAGGGCCAAGCGGTGAAGTCGCCCAAGCTGAAGGAAAGCCCAAACAACCGAAGGGCTTCCTCTTTTTTTTATTTCGTTCAGACGGAGCGCGAAGGAGAAGGAGTTTGTCAAACATCACTGGGCCCCTCCTCTCTCTCGCTCGATCTGCAATGCGACGAAGCCGAACGTCTCGAGCACCGGTATTCGACACATTTTTCTCGCGGTTACCAGCGCTAGGATTTTGGTATATCGAAGGTGTAGTTCGTTATGCGAGATATATATTGCATGCGCATTACACTGAGAGGCTTGCATGTTCGATATAGAGTGTAATTCGCAGTAAACGAGTTCGTTGTAATCGCAGGTTTGACTGTATTCACTGGGAAAATGTGGCAGGATCCTGCAATCTCATCTGAAGCTCAAAGTCAAACCAAAGGGCACTTTTCTCGTCTTCAAATGAAAAGTTACTGTTTCTAGACTTTGAGCTGACTGGTTTTAGTTGAAATGGATGTTGGCTTATGTCTCATGCGGTCGCACCCAAATGGCTGCCTGCGGCTGCTGCAGTGATATTTTTAAAATAGAGGGGTCTCATATTAGTGTACCCTATTTACAGATTTCGTTTGAACCCAAGACTACATTCTTCACTGGAATTCTGAGCACACTAATGTACTGCAGATTGACGTTAATCTTTATACTTGTCCTCTGCCTCGAGGCTTGTTTGGCCCTTGAAGACTAATACTGAAATCCAGGGTGTCGAACCGGAACCGAACCGAACCGAAAACCGGAACCGAACCGTTATTTTCAGCCGAACCGGAACTGAACCGAACCGAAATCATCGCCGCCATCTTGGAACTGAACCGGAAAAAAATATAACGGTAACCGGTTCAAAACGGTTAGCCGTAATTTTTTTTTTGCTTCTTTTGGTATCACAAAATTAATATTTGGGAACAAAAAATTGACAGCTGTGTTTCTTATGTATTGATCAAATCGTCATATACAGAATTGCAATGTATGGTACATTGTCGGATTTTGAGGCGCTTTTATACTCATACTTTGATTAACCATGTATCACGTGGTCACGTGACGTCATGGTGTCAAAACGTGCTGTCAAATTGTGTCACGTCACGTGACTCACTGCGTGAAGTTGATTTAATTTGAGAAAGTCACTAGATTTATTAACATATTTGACACCGTGACGTAACATGACTTCCCGACTTCGCATTGAGAGTCACGTGACACCCTGACGTACGTGATTTTTATGACCCCGTGCGAGTGCTCGCGTTCACGACAATCGGCGTCGCCAAACATCTGGGTAACGACTCACGTTCAATTAAATATGATAATATACCAACTGTAAAAATACCTGAAGCTGAGTCCATGCTCTATGGTTTCCCAAGCCCCCTGCATGACTATGATGAACACCTACGGTATATAATTACCGTCAGATAACGTGGCCGCTTGCTCTAATTGCAAGCTGAGGAGGAGAAATCTGTTTCTTTTATTTTTTCTGCGTCTGCCATTGCGTGGAGGAGAGAACTAATGAATGTTTTTGCAAGCTATCAACATCAGGCATTAGTTCCTAAAGGTATTTACTAAAAGTACAGAAATAGTTGTACGACCCATTTTACATCATTGAGCCACCCAAACATGTTTCGTTGTTGTTGAACTGCCTCGGAAAGTTGTCCCCAAGAATAGACGTATTGAACTGACTAAATGTGACTAATTAATTCAATGATAAAAGTGTGTACGGGAGAGATACTTAAAAAGAAAGATCCGTTGTGGCCTCAGACGGATAGCCGAACGTTGGCAGCCGCTCTAATTCTCACAGGAGCGTCGCTCTCAAGTTATTCTCCAAGTGTTGACCACATATGCATTTTGTTTAAACTTCACAGTTGGGTTCAAAATAATAGCAACGG